CAACGTCATCTGTACTGCTTCTCTGCGCTGGTCCTCTGTCTCTCCCCACTTGTAGGGTATGGGCACTATGGCGTATCCACGCTTGAGTCCGGGGACAAACATCTCGCTGTAGTCGAGTGGGACTTCCAGTTGCCGGAGGATGTCCCGTGCTTTTTGGAGTGTCACTGTGGACGCTTGGTCGTCCGGCCATCCCCCCATGATCAGGGCTGGTTTCTTGGGGGCTTCGGTGTCGGCTGTACTGCCCCCTCCTGGAAGGGACGACCCCTTGAGCTTGTTCTCGAGGAGCGCCAGGCGGTTCTCCAAATCAGTCTGCCCCCCTTGGAACTCCTTGATGTATGTTGCTTGTCTCTCCTGCTCCGACTTGAGTTGGCTCACTGCTTCGGTCTGTTTATCATGGTTGGTGGAGACAATCTGCAGCAACTTGTTGGTTGTTTCCATCTGCTTTGTCACCCCTGCCTCGATGCCATCAACGCGAACCCCGAAATTGGCGACTTCCTGGCGCACTGTCCCGAGTTCTGCGCGCATGGCCTCACGGATCATGTCGAGGGTGAGCCCCCCCTCCTCCGCCTTCTGCTTTTTGCACGGTGAGGTCTCACGGCCGTCTCGGCCATCCCCCCCCCCGGCTGGGGCATCCGTCTGCATAGGTGAGGATGCCATTCTTGATGTTCCGCAGGTAGTGTCACGAACACACCCTCTTTATACTGGGTCTCCCACAATGATCTCCCGGCTGATCGTGTAAGCCCCCGCGAAGGCCTGTAGGATCGCCGATGCTGTGGTCGCCGAGGTTTGGCAATGTCCCGAAGGGTCAGGGCAAGGCCACCGAACTGGACCGGACTGGTAGATGTCCCCCCGGCCGGCGCCGATGGCGAGGACGCGTAGATCAGCGAACTTGCCGGTGTTCTTGATGGCCCCTCAAACGGGCCGCACACTCACTCAGGGAGCTCTCGTCAGTTTGTAGGCCCTCTTCTTTCTTTTGGCTTCGGCCTTGAACCGCTCACGGCTTGAGCCAAAATGGCTACCGTTCCGTCTCTCTTTCTTTCTTTCGTCAGGGCTATGGTGTAGGCGTTCCGTCTCTGTCCCTATCTCTCTTGTTGTCTGTCTCTCTTGCTTGCCTCTTTCTTTCACCAGGCTTGGGCTGCCCATTGCCCATCTGTTGGTGGTAAGCACGGTATTACGTGCAGTGAACAACTCCGCTGGCATGATGCTTGCCTCTCTCTCTCTCGCTTTCTCTCTCTATCTTCACTTCACTTCAGTCCGCGCGCGGACCCGGGCCAAGGCCCCCCTTCCCCCCATAACGGTGGAAAAGGGCTTTGGGGTCTCCCGGGCTCTCTCTCTCTCTCTCTCTTCCGGGTAGGAAGCAGGGGCAGCATCCGCCCAGCCGCGGCTCATGGCGGGAGATGCTTGCCTCTCTCTCTCTCTCTCTCTCTTTCTTTCTTTCTTTCTTGCTTTCTCTCTCTCTCTCTCTCTCTCTCTGCCAGGTAAGAAAGAGGCAGCGGACGTTACCCCTTCCGCGCGCGCACGCGCACCTGCAGTCCGCAGGATTTAGGTCCTCCCCCCATGACTTAGTCAAAGAGGGCTCAGCTGTACTTCAACTGTGACCACCCGCACGACAAGCACTGAACATCTCCCATAAAGTGCGTCTACATCACATGCGTGCTCAGTGGCTGTCTCGGAAAGTGGTGTCCCCCTGTCTTAGAGGTCTACACGAACTAATTACACAGCATGGTTCAGAAGCAGGTTTGCCACATGACCGTGTAAAGCAACAACCAGACCATCGTTCAGACCGAAGACTAAGGCATGTCATGTTGGCAACTCCCCAAGCTGAAAAAGCAAGCTCATCGCAACTCAAGGAGGCTGCGATTGTGGAAACACTGCGCATTCCCCACAGGTTTCTCAACGTAAAGGCATATTGAAAGAACAAGGCTAAGGTCGCTGCTTGGTTAGCTGCATTCCCCCGGCCGTGAAGTTTCAAAGAGTCTACCAACTGTCTGTAGGTCAAGACTTGCGGTGCCTATTCCCCCTACAAGTAAGCACAAACACAGTCTAACAACACAAACAAACGCTGAGGCATCCGCATCACGCTACACTTAGGGGCGTTTGCCACTCACTCGCTTGCGCTTCAGAGGAGGTCGCTGGTCTTCTTCCGGTTTCCCCCCAGCTGGGAAGGTTCTGCTTGGTACTCGTTGACTCCCCCGGGAAGACGAGGAGGTTGCAGGCTGTCCAGCATGTGCTCTGTCCACACTGCGGGCGACCGCAAGGAGCCGTGCCGCAAGCCCCACTGGTTTAGCTGGGCGTGTCACCCGCAAGGACCGTGCTTGGTGTGAAGTGCTGCGTCCTGTAACCACTGTCTCACGCAGCTTGCGGTCATGGATAGCTTGGCCGAGCTGTCGCCCAACTTCCCCCGCCTTTGAGGTACTTTGGTTGTCCCCCGGCGGCTCGACTGCGACTTCTACAACCCCAGCTTCCGCGTCCACCTCCTCGATGGCTTTGTGCAGCATGGCTTCCGCGGCTGCTTTTTCTGCCGCCTTTCCCCCGACTTGGGTCTCCGTTGTCTGCTCGGCGTATATGGCCGACATCCGAAAAACAGCCCATAGCGCATCATCTGACGGGTCCGTCACGTCCACCATCTTCTTGACTGCGTCAAACAAGTTGGGTGGGGTTGACCACGCCTCATCATTGCGTGGGTCGCGGAGGCTCGGATAGTCGATCTCCGAGCCGCTCCCCTCCAGATATGGTGGTGTTTTGACCATGTAGTCCTGCGACAAGTCGCTCCAGTCAGGCGATGGTTCTTCTTTGATCTTCGCCCCGCTTGAGCCTTGCAAGTCTTTCGGCTGGTTCTCCCCCTGCTCGTCGGTCGCCTTGCTTAGGTTCTCCCCCTCGACGGTCTCCTGGTTCTTGGCCTCCCCCATGTCGTTGTCGTCAAGCTCTGTTCCACGGTTGTCCTTTTCCTTCTCGTTCTCGAGGTTGGCTTGTTCGGCGCTGGGCGACTGGGGGCGCATAAGCCGTTCCAGTTCCCCCGCCTTCAACTTGAGCTCCTCCGGCCATCTGATCTTGACGGCACACCAGAGGCTGGCTGCCGCGGTAGGGTTGTCGCGGAGCAGCTGTAAGACTGCATTGCTCCCCCCTGTTTCACCGTAGAGTTCCATAGCCATCATGGAACTGTAAGCCATATTGTACAGGTTGTCCGCAATGGCCTCCTTCTCCTCGGCAGTGGGCGCGTAGAAGTCCTCCCCCTCTGACAGCTCCGGTGTTTTACAGAGTTGCTGCTTCGACTTCGACCAAACCAGGTCAACCTCCTTCCACGAAAAGTTGTAAAGAGGTCTTATCTGCCGCCGCACTTGCCGTCTCAACGCGGCATTCCCCCGCAAAGGGTGGTCATTCTCCGGGCTTTCGCTCTCCGAAGAGCTCGGTTCCCCCGGTGGAGTGTCTCGCGGAGGTGCAGCGCCGGCATTGCTGCTGCCTGCCTGAAGCCATCGCTCGTTGCTAATCTGTTGCGTTGCTTGAATGAGCGCTGGCTGCCCTCATGTCCCATTCCGAGTGCATCCAAATAGTAAGTAGTTGTTGCGGTGTGTTGGCGTGTTGGTGGTGGTTGCTGGTGAGTGCTGAGGGAGACGGACGACGAGACCACGCGGTGGTGCAAATGCTGTGTGTGTGTGTTGAAAACAGTGGTCCCTGCTTCTCTCTCTCTCTCTCTTGCTGTCTTGTTTTTCTCCTCTTCTGTCGAAGGGAGCTTGCGCAACCCCCATCCCCCCAAAGGTGTTTCAAGTCATATCCTTCCGCCACTTTAGGGAGGACTTTGGCAACCACCATCCCCCCAAGGATTGGGTCCGTGAGGCTGTCAGGGAGTGAATTCCATCATCCGCCCTCTTCCCCGTCCCTGGCTTTGTTGGTGCTGGCTTCCTTCCCCACAAAGTGGGAGACTGTCTTGGGACCTCTGCGAGTGTCGGGTATGCGGGCTGAGGTTGTCCTGAATGCTTGGCTGTTTGCCTGTTGCCCAGGGTACGTCGAAACGCTCGACAAACTGGCTGGCAAGATCGTTCCATCTTGCACGGTCTGCTGCCACCTCCCCCCAGTTTGTTCCAGCAATGCATTCAAGCGCCCGTTCAACATCCCCCTCTGGGTTGAAGCGCCCTGCGTGGTTGACGCGCTTGTTGCGCGGTTTCTGTTGCTCTGTTCGCCAGAACTTGAGGTCCTTCCATGTAACCATGCTGTTGACCGCTGGCCCCCCCTGGAAATGTGCCCCCACAACCCCCATATTCTGTGCAGCACATAGCTGGACCAGCGCTGGATGTTCTCCCTCTGGATGTAGACTCTCGCAAGGCGGAGTGTGCGAATGTGCCACTCCGCCCATGCCTCGGTAGGCCGGCGCTGCAGGTGTAACATTGCACGGATGTGCTTTGCTTGGGTGGAATTGACTGCTCTGAGCAAGCCTTGGCTAACCGGCCATGTCTCTGCTCCATACACTCTCTCTTTCTTTCTTTCTTTCTTTCTTTCTTTCTTTCTTTCTTTCTTTCTGCTGGGCTTAGGGGTCCCGCAAGACCCTCAGGCCTTAGGCCCGCCCAACCCTCACACTGTTTTAGTGAGTGGTTGGCATTGGGGTCTATCCAGATTAAGGCAGGGAACTACAAAATATGCTCCAGGTTTTCATGCAGCGATCCTCTCTCTCTCTCTCTCTTGCCTGCTAGCTTGCACAGTGTGGGGGGTGAAGGGGTGAGACCCCTCCAACCCTGCGCACCAGCGCGACGCTGAGTGTCCACGTCTCTCTCTCTCTCTCTCTATCTCTTCTTCCCCGGGGCATGAGGGGCGGTCGAACCCCCTCGGCCTTACTCACTCTCTCTCTCTCTCTCTCTCTCTCTCTCTCTCTCTCGAAATGACAAACCCCCAGCCCTCGTCGCCCCAGAGGACGTGTTCCTAAGTTCAATCTAAGGCCAGCCCAAAAAAGCAGCAAGAAAAGCATCAGACAAAACCCACGGCATACAAGCAAGTGGTCATGGCCGGTCCTTCGAGCAATTGCCTCGCGCAAGGCTTATGGCGCTGTGAGCTTTGATGAAGCGTCCTGCATGCGGCTTAGTTCGCTCTATTTGCACTGGAGTCGACAGCTAATAAGCTAAATAGCTAGGTCCACCGATCTTTGTGTGCGCCCTGGTATGCCGTTGTTTACACATCTCATGACATTCCGAACCCGCACTCTTGCAGAGATATGGGTCCTGCAAGCACCATCTGCGACGTCTGCCAAGCTTGCTTGAACACGATCCTTGCAAGCATGCTGCACCACCCTCCAGATGACAGAATGTGAAATTGCACCACCTCTGGCGATGGCGAAGTACGCTTTGATGCGAAATATCGCGAAAGCATCGACCTCAGTCTAAGTCGGAACCCCCGTTCCACGATGTTCCATGTTGCAGGGTCTGCGCAGACGGTTTTCCGAGAAACAGGCTGCTTTCCGACCGTGCGGCCCTGCATACCAGCATGTGCTGTAAGCACAGCACGAAAGCCAGCACAGCTGTGAAGCACCGCGTCTGTCAAGGAAATTTCTACATGTGGCACCGCCTGAACCTTTTCAAGCAGCTGCGATCTAACAAAGAAAAGTTTGGTAGTTTTCTGCACAACGGATTCGGATCAGTGGCTCTCGCCGCCGGGGCATTACGGTCGGGTCACACAGAGAAGGAGCAGGCACAGCGGCGTTGCGCCAAGTCACAAAGTGAGATGGACAAGGCCCCAGGCAAAGGCGTCCCAGGCAGGAGGCGATCGGATCCCAAACTGGCTGCCGGTTTCCAGAGTAGCAGTGCAGTTTGCAGCAAAGGCGCCGAAATCAAGTGGCAGTTTCCCAAACGGAAAAGAATCTCAAAACGATACTCTCAGCATTGCGACCTGACTGGACTAAGTCATCAACGAAAAATCATTCTCTCCCGCCCTGCTGGTCTGTATGTGGTCCGACGCGGCCGCTGTGACAAAGGAATTGGCATATTTGGCTCTGAACGCGCGTCGGTCTGAGTTGCTCCTGATTTGCGCTGTTCAGTGCAGATTCCGTAGTTGGAAGCTTGTGGCTACCAGGCATCTGAACAGAGCCCAAAGCACGGATGGCAGAAACACATGCGAAAACATACCATGAGCGGCATTAGCACAATGCGGGGCCTCTTTGGGAGAAGTCAAAGCCGAGGCCTGGAGCAACGCAAAGCGAAAAGCCAGAAGCGAGAATAAGCGAGAAGCGCAAAGTGTCGTACACAGCGCTTTGTTTGCGCTTTCTCTCCCGTCTCTCGGCCCAGGGCTCGGAAACCGAGGGCTTCTTTGGGAGAAGTCTCCCGGGACGTCATCCTCGGCCGGCACCGGGACTTTTTTCAGCTCAGCGCCGTATATCGACTGCTGCTCTCAAAGTCGCTCAGGCCCCAGCCCAGCTCGTGGGAGCTGCATGTGCTGATGGCGTGATGGCGGGTATCAAATTTACGTGTGCACAAGAGTCACACGAGCTGAGCTGAGCTTGCAAGTGTTCCGTGTTCCGTGTCTTCTGCCACCAACCACTTCAAAGAGGCTTCGACTTGACCATAACATATCACAGTTGGCTGGACTGACTGGGCCAATGCAGCTACAAAGATTGGCTCCAGGCCTTTCCAGCAAGACGCGGAGGACTGTAGCGTGCTCGAATCACCCGACATCCCGAAACCCCTGAGGGTGCAGGCCGCAACAGAGTTCAGCAGTCACTGAAAATGTGTTCCTAAAAAGCTAGTTGCTGGCTGCTACCCTGGACTGTAAATACTTTCGTGGAACACTCTACTGTAACTGTCTCGATGCTCCTGAATACATCTTAACAATCCGACATCATGAAAATGGACTGAAGGCTTGACTGTCGCAGAAAGCTCAAAACGCATTTTGCTGTCCTTTGCTTCGCAAGTCGTCTTTGTCGGGCTGTTCCCGAAGACTCCACGAAACCTCTCCGTCAAGGAGCTACGCTGCCTGACCGAAGATGAAGATGCCTCTGACTCTGACAGACTCAGGACGCCGATGCTCCACCTTGTGCTCCAGCACGGGCACCTCGTGTACAGCTTCCTAAGCTTCTATCATCTGCTGTCACAGGGACCAGTGGAACCTTCGGAAGCTCTGGACGCTGCGCCGGCACCAGGCCTCAGTGGGGTTTGACGGCGACACAGGTGAGAAGCCCCGATGCCAACTCACAGGCAGGCCACAAGACATCTCGTGCCGGCATCTGGGCTGCAGCTGCCTAGCCGTTTGCGGTTCCTACCAAAGCAGCACCCAAAAAACTGCACGCCGGAAAGACTACAACCCACAAATGAAACGACGACAGAAACGCACTGAGCGTAATTAACAAGATGTGACAACTTGTGCTTGTGTCTTGTGTCATATCAAGATGAAGCGATGTCTCCCCTCTGCCTGTGCTCGAAGTAGCTTCGTCCTTGTTCCTTCACTGCGGCTTTCCGAAAGTTTCCACACATCGCTAGACCCCAGGGGTCCTGCAAGTCTGCACAGCAAAGCACAAATCAACAATCACCAGACACACACTCCCGATGATGCTGCAAATACACAGGCAATGGCTTCTCAATTTCAAGCGTACTCGCCAACCCGATCTGCTCTTCCTTCTACGAGCCCCCAACCCAACTGCCGAAAAACATCCCAGAGTCGGTACCGGGGTATGCGCCAAAGAACAGGACCAGCTTTCATGGTACATTGCTTGTCAGAAAAATGTGTTAAACTTCCGCGTTTGCTTTCTACGTTCCGGTGCCTGATCTGCTGGGTAGATGAAATAAAGAGGCCTGAAGAAGCAGGACTTGGAGTTGTTCTACCAGGCAGCGAAATGGCTTCCTCAACAAGCTCGATGCTGAGAAGCCAGATAAGCACGGCACAAACCAATGAAGAAAGACGCCGTGTAGATCAAGGCGGTCACCTTGGTGAGTGATCACATGCGAACAAATTTGATCGACTGCTTGCCATGCACTGAGCGCATATGCGATAAATGTGAATCGATAGTCGCCGGCATAGTCAGCCAAGTAGCCGCCTGCAAGTCACGACCAGCTCTTGTGGCTCTTTCCCACAGCGCATCACCGCAGAGTCTAGAGGCCTAGAGCGGCACTTCCAGACCACGTGAAGCCAGACAAAGACTGGATGGAGTTCCATCTTCCCCGAAGGTCCTTATGGCAAACAAACGCTCTGCCAGTGGTCAAATGACAAAACCTGAATTCGAAGGATGGTGATAATGGCGCAAATTCAAACTCTATGCGCAAAACGATGCGATGCACTGCTTGGTTTTGCAAGATTGCTGCTTCTCCTTCCTGTACCTGTGCCATGACCCCTGCCGCTACCCCTTTACCGGACCCTTAAACTTTGCAGGGGGATCTGGGAGATTCTGGAAGGACAGGATGGCAGTGCGATGCTCATCTGAGTCTCGGAGGTAACCAAGTCCATGATCATTGAGCGAACGATAGGACCTGGCATGAGCCAACCACTCCAGAACACAGTTGGGCGTGCCCGACGAGCCTTGCCTCTTGCGTTCATCAACGCACCCCTCAGCAGGTAGAGCGGAAGGACCAGGACAAGCGATCCTGGTGAACACATGCACAGCACAGCATTGCTGCTCTGTCGCCAATGAATTCATCGCGGACAGCACACACTACGTATTGCCACCAAGACACTGATGTAGCACATCGCAAACAGACATGCGGTGCCTCAGAAACTTCGCGAGACACTGATAACTAGATGACACGAGCACAGGTACAGTTTGAGAGCAGTGCCAAGGAAGTGGAAAAGCCTCGGAATCGACAAGTGACTGCAACATGTCAGGCACAGAGCTTCTTAGGGCTCAGGCATCACTGCTGTAAGGCGACCGAGTCGCTTCGATATTCTGCGGCCTCAAACGACAGAAAGTGCCGCGCAAAGCGGAAAGTATGCTCCAGAGCTCGAGCAAACGATTGGGTGAAGCGCAGATTTCCACCTCACACGACATCACGCGAAAAGCTTTGTCACGAAAAAAGCACTGCACGCGAGCTCTGAGGCGCCGACCATGGCAGAGATGCACAGAGGGTACACGCAACTCAGAATGCCTTGGCAAACCCCACCGCATATGCTGTTATGCCCTCCGTCGGAGGGACGACATGCCGAATTCCTGAAAAGGTGCAAACCTCCAAGGGTGTGAAGTGATAGTCGACCCGGAAGAAGAGCGGGAAGAATTTCACCTGGGCATGGCCACGTACACAGCCTGACCCCTTCCAAGTCTGGCATCGAACTGGAAAGAAAAGGCACTGTCATCCCGGCGCCGATGGCTGTAACAAGCGACATAAATTCGAGTGTGCCTGCAATCCACCACCTCCAGCCAGAATATGGGGTCATGCAGCAGTTGCATCCAGCAAAAACCAGTCCGGCCTGACTGGAATACCGAGATGTCTACGCTCCAGATCGCTAGCAGCATAAGCCGAATGCTCATTTTGACGGCTGCCGCCTACGTGAAGGACATCCACTACTCAGAAGTGCTGAGCGCGGTTTTAGGCGAGAGGCAAAGAAGGACACACGCACTGCGCGAGGCGCTGAATACAGACTCCGGCCTCTTGTCTCGAGTGGCGGGAGATCGCTTAGCCGCAAAGTCCATATCAAGACTCCCGGCCACAGTACACAGCCAGACAGAATTACCGACCGCAGCAGGGAGCTTCCCCAATGATTCCTTGGGACGATACAGCATCACACAACACGTGCAGCAGCCAGGCGTATGTAACAAATGCGCAGGATCCTACTTGATTATTTGATGCCCAGGAGTCTGATGCGAGATCAAAAGCATGAGGGCTTGAAGAAGCGGTCCGGATGCGATTGCTATGAGCCGAAGAGATGTCATTCGCGAGACAACCTGAAAGACCAAAGGCAGCCCCTACATCTTCTCACAGAACACAGACATGGAAGTTACGTAGTCCTGTACCCACGAACACTCAAATGGCGTTACAAGAAAATGGCCGCCTTGACGCGTTCGCCCGCATGTGCCGAGTCGGCCACAACCACCTGCGCAGTACCTCACACTACCGTCTGCAACGACACCAAGCCCGGTCTTAACCACCTTTTACCAACTTACGGCGTTGGCTGACCATCGGCAATCAGTCCATTATCCACACTGGCACAGCGGAGTCTGGTTCGAAAAATTTATTAATCGGAAAAATTCGCAGCTTTGACAGCCTGTAGAAACTTTAATGCGCAAGTGCTCACATGTCATGAACACACCTGAAACAACCGGACCTCTTCATGAAGAATTGCTACACCATGAGTCACGCTGCCACAGAGTACTGATATGCCAGCCCCAACATTCGCAGGCATTTCGCTTATCATTGCCCCCCACCTAGCCTGACCCCTCACCCTCATCGCATGGTCCGTTCCTCGGTTCTACAATGTTCTACCATCGACACCGTGGCGGCACCGCTGACAGTCCTTGCAGCGCACGCTCCCCACCACGAAAGAGAACAAAGATGCCGCGAGCAGTTTTGGTAGCAACTCACAGACTGCATTCCAGTGTTGGACATGTTGCACCAGCTCACAGCACTGGTGCCCTTCTGCATCAAGACGAGGCAGAAGCAGGCGTAGAGAGCAACAACAACAAGTGCCAAAATTTCTTGGCCTCCTGGGCACAGGACTTTTGCGTCCAACAAGTTTGGATGCAAAAGCCCTCGTCCCATCAACACCACACGACCCAACGGCGACCTTAGTGCTGCCATGCGCAGCCAGACTGCGCAACGTTCGCATGGTCACCAAAAATTCTCTGGCTTCCGCCAGAGATTCCAAGGACCCCAAGGAAACCAAAGCGCAGCAGACGCGCCCTCACAAAAGAAAACCGATTCATGCAGCCACTGCCGCTTGAACCAAGCCAATCACACCGCACATGCACATGGATCGTATTGCAGACAGAATCACGAGAACGCTTGCCCACAGAAGAGTCGAGTCCCTCCCGAATTGCCCGCATTTTCACAACCTACACTACTTGGGACCTCCTTCAGCAACCCACCACAGCCGGACGATCAAGGAACTGGCCTGGAAGCCACAAACCATGAAGGCATGAGAAAGCAAGAACGCAAGTCAACGAACGCTTGGCGAAAGCCAAGCTGGACCCCGGACCAAAACGGAAGTGGCTCCATCTACAAACCCGGCCAGGTTTCAGTACTGACCTCGTAGGGTCATAGTCACAGTGCAAGCATGGGCAGGCCCCTCAGCCAAACACAGCAGGTCCACGCCTGCTCCTGCAAACGATGAAGCAAATCAGGTCTCGCAAGCACCAAGCCCAAACACTTTACCGACAAAGCTTAGAGCTCACCAGCCACAACCAAGAAGCACTTCGACGTGGCTTCAACCAATCCTTGCTCACAGCCACCATCCCAGAAGATTGGCGCAAAGGCGACGACCCACTCACAGACCCTTCCGGTTCCGTGTGCACAAGTCTTGCCAAAGCCGGCACAGTCGAGTGCAACAATCGACCACAGCTTCGGAGCCCACCTCACACATCCGCATTATCAGGCGAAGCGAAAGAGCCGAAGATGCAGGCCGGTGCTTTTGTGCGATGTTGGATCTGCGAAAGGGTTCCAAAGCCTTCCAGAGAACTCCTCAATGACCTCGGCGTGTCGACCCACTTCAAAGCCAACATTGTAGGTTGCAGACTTGCTTACACCAAACAGGACATTCGGTTTCGTCATGGCAGTCGCTTCCTCACCCAGCGTCGCCCCATCACACGTGGCATCCAGACAGTGCAGCTTAAGCTTTTCGGGCATTTTCTGAGATCTCATCCGAAAGCCATCGAACGGAAATGTTGCTTTATTTCTAGCTTTCAGTACACGTGAAGTATTGCAGGCCTAACGGCAGGCCTAACGGCAGGGAGGAGGAGACTGAGGATGACCGTGACAGGTTCTCGGATCGAAAAGCAAACTGCGGGCAGCGAATTCCTAGCCCGTGAGTCCAATATGAAGTCTAGAAAACTGACATGCCGCCATGCTGCTGTTCCAGCACTGGGAACAGGGCGCCTGAGCTACTCCGCACGACAAAGGAAAGTTAAACCCGGGCTGCTCTGAATGCGATGACATTCGTAAACTACTTTACCGACCAAGCCACCCAAACCCCGATGCCAATGAACAGCAGAGGAAGGCTGTCTAGCAGCACTCCAATGATCAGCAAGCCTAGTCCTTGTGGCCATGGACAGGTTCCCACCGGAAGCATGCAAAGAACACACACACACACATGCTCGGCCAAGCAGCCGAGAGTCCAAAACGGCAAATCCAACTTCAGCAGCCGAATTCTCGACATCTTGTCAGACCTCGGCCAAGACCGGCCAAGCCCTCCCTTGCTGGCTGCGAGCGGTGTGGCAGATGTGCCGCCGCAGTCACACGGCTCCGATAGGATATGCCAGCACGAGCTGCAGAATTCCTCGCCTTGGAAGTTCAAGCTCAGAAGCGTCGCAGCGTCTCCTAGCACCACTGCAAGCAAGGCACGTGGACTCCACGGCACCAACCAGCTTGTTTCCATTCCTTAGGAACGAGTAGTGAATAGTCAAAAGTATGTTAAAAGTCAGCGAAGCACGAGCAAAAAGGCCAGCATCGGCATCTCCCAGCCCCCTGGTTGCAAGATAGGCACACTCCTCCGATGTTCAGCAAGTAAGCATCGAACAGTGGACCAAGCGTCACTGCCGACCTGCTCGCAGAACAGCACACATGCCAGGGTTACGAACAGAAATAACTCGTCGACCAGTGCATTCATGCAGCAGTGCGACACCGAAGAAGAGCGACACAAAGATACGTCGGATGTTTTTGCGGTAGTCCTTCCATCTTTGACAGCGTGTTGGCGAAGCCGCAGATCAAACACACGGTTTGTTGTGCCTGTCTGTGGTAAGCTCGAGGCAGTCCTTTGGACCAGGTCCTTCTGAGCCTGCAAGCTCCTGTTGCATCTCCATGGTCTCCATCGCTCCAGTTTGTGGAGTCCCATGAATCTGCCGTGTGCACGGTGCCGCTTCTCTCGCACAGCAGATGATTCTCAAATATCAAAAAAAAAGATCTACTGCCGAAGCTGAGTATGGCTGCTGGAAGGGTTCATGGAGGACATCTTGAGCACAGACCACATCCAATCTATAAATGTCAGCACATGCGAGCTTCCGCGGCAACGAATGCACGAAAGAATCTAAGCAATACACACATTTTTCATCGTCGCCCGCTAATCCCTGTCCGATCTGATTCGGTTCAACATATTAAGCAAAGACATGCAGCAGAAGATAGGACCGCTTCGTGTCCAGCTGAACTCGCATCAAGTATTGAGGATGAGGAAGACCTCGTGAGACAACTGCTCTTGATCCCTTCCGCAGAAGACAAGTATTCTGCATTGTTTTGCAAGCCCGAAATTTCTGCCGTTTATCTCTGCTGATAACTCGGGGAGCCGTGATCATCGCAGCTCCCCCAAAGTTAACAAGAACGGGCGGCGAGGGAAGGGAGGAAGAGTCACTGGTTGGTGATGAACTTGCGAAGTTTCATAACCGCTGCCTATGATCAGCCACATAGCTTGGCATGGGGCACTAGACTGGTTGCCTGCCGAGACGCACGAGGTCAATGACTCGGAAGCAAAAAAGAGTCCGAACCACAACCGCCGTCGAGGCTGTCGCGCCCGTAACAGTGCTGCCAAGTGTCGAGGATGACGAAGAGAACGATGGCGCCGCCCACTGCATAAATCTGAGCCCTGGCACATCACTCTCGCACCGCTTCGCTTGCCCTGAAATCTGCATGAAATGGTTGATGATATCTGGTAGCACGTTTGCATACAAGGCTTGAACCCGCTGCAAACCTGGAACCCGAGACCTCGAAACCCCTCAACTGCTTAATTAGCACATCCAAGCAGATGCTGGGCGATGTAACGGGGTGTCCGATCAACCGAAGTCGGTGTGGCTTGTTGCTCGTCTTCAATAGAGCTCCCATGCCCTTGGTCACAACGTCCATTCGCTCCATCTGCGCACGGGTCCAGCAATCGGAATCATGCCAAGCCCAACAGAACACACGGATGCTGCCTCCTTCTCTATATCCTGGTTCAACCTGAGCTGCACAAGAGGCTTCCGTGCAACGCCTTGAACGGCTCAGATTTTTCAGTAGCACGTTTGGACACGCTTGTTTTGCTCGTGCGTCACGATTACGCAGCCGAAACCCGATCGAAACGTACATTTTGCACGGGCGAGGAGCTTTCGCAGGTGTTGGAAACACCAGGTGGTCATGCAAGCTGTTCGCAAAAATGCGCTTTCGATCGGAGCCCGCCTTTTTGAGAATCGAACATTTCAACTGTGTTTTGCTGAAAAACCGTGCTCTGGCCAAAGCTCGGGCGCCCTTCATATTTTGCGCAATTTGTGTTTTCGGGTGGCTTTGGTTGCAGAGGACGGTCTTGAACTGTGAAAGTTTCAATAGAACCCTTGCTTGAAAAATGGTGCTCTGGTCTGTTTTCGGATGCCTTTTTTGCAGCAATTGGTTTATTGGTTTCCCGCTGCCTACATGCCCTTAACGCTGCGTTGCTTCGCAACCCTGAACAGTTCAGGACTCTTCGTGCTGGTGTAAGTGTAAGCATCTATTTCCAAAACAACAGAAACCGCCCTAAAGCTTGAAACGTCCAAGCTTAAAACCCTGAAGTCAGGAGATAAAAGCTTTGAGACTTTTTCAGCCCGGAGCCCCGAGTTGCTGCAAAAGAGAGAAGCTGGGCCCACGTGTCGGGCCCACAAAGCTTGGAAAAGAGCGAATCTGGGGTTGAAGATGTAGGATTTACACGGCTTGAGTTAAAATTGGACAATGCGACCATAAACATGCACCGGCATGTGTGCTAATGGCTTGTCAGCTCATGCGGGACATCTGTGTTCGGACAGTGACAAATCAATGTGGTGCTGCATGAACCACGGCTGCGGCACCAACCGGCTCGGCTGGAACAAGACGCGAGTACCACACACGTAGTGATGCTTCTGTAGCCAGCACAATTTCTAACAATGGCTTCTGTATTGAGAGGGTTGGAAAGATCCGATGTTGAACCAAGATTGGACACTGACAGAGCCGACTTCGTAGTTTGGATGTAGCCGTTTGGCGAAGAACAGGCTGGAACGACCGCCACCTGGCACCCCCAAACTAAGCTGACTCAGAAGAATAGGCTGCCGCCGAGACCGCATGCTCCAGATCAGCTGCGCGAAGGCTCCGATCAAGAACGGCGGCACCATGCCGTCATGGAAATGACGTCATGGAATACCCTGCCGCCGCCGAGGCGAAGGAACGAAGCTTCTTCCCCTGGTTTCCCTGTCCTTGGTCATTTCGCCGCCGGGCCCCCATCCGGCCCGGACGGCGATGTCGAGGTCCAAAAGGAATGAGCGAATGTGGGCTTGATGGACGGCAAGATGCTCGCCTTGACTCTGCTGCGGGCTCGTCGAGTCAGATGCCGGTGACATAGCCACCCTCACAGGCGAAGTCCTGGATCAACCTATGTAGGACGAGAATGCCTACCCCACCGGCGCCACCTGCGCGGCCAAGAGTCCAAGAAGAAGGCTGTGGCACATATTGGCCCGAGATTTAAGGCGGATTGCTTTTACAAAAGCTCCCATAGACACTCACATGAAATCGCAGAGCAGCAGAATGCAGCAGACAGAGAGAGCAGGCCTCGCATGGCCTCACAGCAGGTGCAAAAGCAGCTCCCTGCAAGTTCGAACCCCCGGCGTTTCTCGGCGTGTGAAGATTTCCGATTCGACTGAAGCTCAACACTTCCTCCTTCCCCTGTCTCGCCTGAACCGACTGAGATCCTCAGGGCCAGACTCGTCCAGCAGTTTTTGCTGACCTGATTGTAACACTAGCTGCCAGCGGATGATCCTCAAACATGAGCTAGGCCGGTGGGCCGGCAAGGGGATATCTTTTGCAATTTGAGGTCCTCGAGATGTTTGGCGGACGTAAAAGTTTCGCAGAAGAGACCGAGGCGTAGGCTTTCGATCTCGCCATTGATCGTGTAGGCGACCTGTGAACTCGACATGGCATCTCTTTTCACTACCCTAAACTCCTAGACCACACCGTGTGCCGTGTGCTCCACTTAGACTTCATGACGGTTCCCTCCAGCCTGTCCGAGTCTTTGAGCACCCTTCTCAAGTGCCTGTAGCTCGTCCTGGCACACAAGGCACCTTAGGCTTAACTGAAAATCTCATGACGACTTTCTCTATGGAGTGCATGCACGGCACGCTTCTTTCCCGCTGGTGTTGTGGACTAAGCCCAGCTTCACGAGCTTCCATGCTAACACGCGCAACATCATGCATGCGATGTGCCGGAAACTAACTACTTGGCAAACTCGCTCTCAGCCGCGGCTGCGACTTCGCTCTCTTTCAACACCACTTGACGTTGTGCTGACACCTTGGATTCACAGAGGTGAACAAGGCAGGGGGCGGTGCTTCAACAATCGGCGCCAAGTGCAGCAGAGGATCCGTTTGCCTGTGGCTGAGGACTGCTGAGGCCTGGTGCATCGGACGTAGGTCCGCCTGCGGAAGCAGGCACCGCGGCTCCAGCTGCCGGCGGTGCCCCTCCAAGGCCTGCAGAGCCTGCGGAGCCTGGAGGGCCTAAGGCCGGGCCCAAAGGCGCTCTGGGGGGAGGCAACGGCGGACTTCCGGGCTGCATTGACATTGCCGGAGCTCCCACCATTCCACCTGCTGGCGCATTTCCTTGCATTGGCACGCCCATGGTGCCTGGCATTGGTGCGTTACCTTGCATGGGTGCCTGCCCGCAGCCTATCGCATTGGGACCAGACATGCCCTGCATTGACGAACAGCCAGGCGAGCAGCCTTGCATTGCATTGCAAGGGCCTGACATCATCATCCCGGGCATCATCCCAGGCATCATACCCGGCATCATGCCCGGCATCATGCCTGGCATCATCGGCATCATCATCATTGGCATGCCCATACCTTATTTGCAGCAGGCTCGCGATGTCAACTCCAACACCAACAATCAGAAAATACCAGGTACTGCGGCAAGGCACATCCTCCCATCGGCATACTTCCCATCATGCCTCGGTAGAGTTGTACACTATGCAAGGCTGCGGATCTGTGCATGTCATGCTCGCACCTGGACAGAGGACTTGAATATGCAAAGTCTTTACAAGCGCACAATGTACTCATATCTGGTCAGGCGTCTGGCGTTCCCAGCCCCCCCCTCCCCCAATGGTATGGTCTGACAGGGGTGGGGGGGGGGGGCTGGCGTGTGCGGAACTGGCGGCCAGGGCTCACGTGCAAGCCCTTCGCAAGCAAGCCGTAAACCCTATGATGCAGCGCGTGCCCCGGGTTTTGAGCAACCTTAACTTGTACTTAAAACGCTACACCCAACCCTAAACCCCACCTAACTGCAGGCTCTAAGCTTAAAGCAGAGCAAAACTCCAAAGCTTAAGCTAAACCCTAAACCCCAAAACCCCACAACCACCCACAGGGGGAAGGGGAACCCCACACCCCACACGACGGGGGAGGGGCCCCACCCTATATCCGGACCATTGACCTTTGCGGGGGGAGGGGGGGGGCTGCGGAGCGCGTGACCATATCTACTACTACTACCACCACTACTACTCCTCCTCCTGGTGCTGCTACTACTAGTGCTGCTGCTGCTGCTATCTACATCTACAACAACAACTAGTACTACTACTACTACTACTACGACGACTACGATGTAACCTTTGTCAGCAAATGGTGCAACCTGTGCAAGATTGCCACGATTACCCCCCCACCCCCGGACCCCGCAATTCCCCAAGCTCCTGAGGCTACCCTCAGCTCGTATCCCTGAACCCCTGAACCCTATAAACCCTAAACCGATGCGGGCGTCGGGCGTTCATAACCCTAAACCCTAAAACCCTAAGCCCCTAAACTCCAAACTCTAGGCCCTGAACCCTGAACCTCAAACTGCGCGCCCCGGTCGCGCCCCCAAACCCTACCCTAAACCCTGAACCAAGACCCCTAAACCCCTAAAACCCTAGATGCTAAACCCTTTAACCCAATAGCCCTAGAAAAACCCAAACCCAAAAACCCTCAACCGATGCACACGCCGGCCGCGCCCCTAAACTCTGCCCCAAAACCTAATTCCTAAACCCAAACCCTTGAACCCTAAACCGATGCACGCAACCCCAAACCATCCTAAACCCGAAAACCTCAAACCCTGTTTGAAACTGGGCTTGCTGGCTGCCAGAAAACCCTGAACCCTAAACCCAAACCCCTACACCCTGGGCAAGTATGCACAAAACCTTGGTGGGGGCATTTTGTATCTTGGTCAGCTAATGGCGCAAGTGGTCCAAAATGACCAAGATTACCAAGATGACGCCGGCCCCCCGCAGACTCCAAAACCCCACCAACCAAGATTACCAAGACGAGCAAGATTACCAAGATGAGGCGTAGTCTTGACCGCTGCTGCTGCCGCTACTGCTGCTATTGCTGCTACTACTGCTACTACAACTACAACTACAACTACAACTACAACTACAACTACAACTACAACTACAACTACAACTACTACTACTACTACTACTACTACTGCTACTCCAACTCCTCTTCCTCCTCCTACTACTACTACTACTGCTACTACTACTACTGCTGCTACTACTACTACTACTACTACTGCTACTGCTACTGCTACTGCTACTAGTACTACTACGACTACTACTACTACTACCACCACTACTACTACTGCTACTACTACTACTACTACGACTACTACGACTACTACTACTACTACCACCACCACCACCACTACTACTTACTCAATAGTGCTTAGTACTTACTAATACTACTACTAGCTACTACCTACTACCTACTACCTACTACCTACTACCTACTACCTACTACTACTACTGCTGCTACTACTGCTGCCACTACTACTACTACTACTACTACTACTACTACTACTACTACTACTACTACTACTTCTAGTATTCCTACTCCCACGCCCATGCCGATTGCCACTCCTGCTCCTGCGGCTACTATTGCTGCTGCTGCTCCTGCTGCGGTGTTGGGACCGCGGGACTGCTAGAACTTCATTTCTGGGGTGTTCTGAATATGACCGATCATTACACTGACATGCGTGCATACACCCATGCAGGCTGAGGACATACAGATCTGTCAGCCATACTGACATGAAAGCACATATACATGAGCGTTTGTCAGCACTTCTTGTGTTCGGCCTAAACATGCATGATCTGGTTTTTCCTATCGCTTTACAGGTTGTCTGGCGAAATGTTAGTGTGATGTATCGCTTTACTAGTGCGACGTCAAGAATAGAAGTACAAGTAGTCAGGTAATGTTAGTCATAGTACGAATCGTAGGAAGGAAAGGTAGTGAAACAGCAGTGACAATGATTCCATCAAAATGGGCAGTGGCTCACAAAACGTCGGGTCTCGATTAGGGTATCGATCAAGGCATCGATTGCCTAGCCACATATGACACGGACAATTTAAGCATGACAACAGGTGATTCGTATTGATTGATCGTATGGCTTTTGGGCAGGGATCCTATATCGCTTTTCGAAGGTGTTGGCCAAATCCGGCATTCAAAGGCGGCCCTACTCTTAACTGCGCTTACGGAAGTCTTGACAGATGCTGAATGCATATGCATGCATATGCATGCATGATAGGGTCAGCTACTGTAAGGTCTGTACACCAACTTGCATATTAGACCTAAGATCCGGGGTCTAATTGCAAAGTTGGTGTACCACAACATAACAAACCAGGGTGGCATATTAGACCTTGGGCCTCCCCAACGGGAAGCTCGATCCGGGAGGGCTGTGGGAAGGCATTGACTATCGAGGCCCGGGGGGGAATTGGGGGCGCATCCGCAGGTTTTCCTGCAGTTCCTGCTTTGACGGGGGGGGAATAGGTAGCAGGCACCCGGCCGAATTGTCCGTATTAGAGTGAAAACGAGCAATTCAGCCGGAAGCATCCTTCGTGAGCATTGCGAACAACTTGTCACACCTGCTCTTGCACCGCTTGTAACTGCACTTCTGCGGCAGATCTATACTGCTGTGAGAAGGACCTGCTTCCTGTCGCATAGACATATTCATGACATAGGCATTCAAATCAACAGCAGACTTGAGCGGCATACCTCCAGCAAGCGAACAAGGAAGGGTCTAACATGCCAAGCCGACTGAGGGTCTAATATGCCAACCATCGCATCTTAGACCCCAGCTCTTCCGATTACACTAACCCATGATTTCAGACCCTCGAGTAGCTGAGGGTATCATGCATGCATGTCTGTGCAACCCACGCCAACAACAGCCGAACTCACAAACCATAGCGAGAGTACGCACACGGCATGCTAGCTAGCCCGTGCATACGTGGTGCTATCTCCAAGTCGTGGTGTGAGCGTAACGGGGCCCCAATTTGGGCATTTTGCCGGGTCGGGACCCTCAAAGGCGACTTTATGGTGACGCAAGGGAACATCGACAACAGAAAACTTGCTTTGTACTCAGGAGTACTGATACACTTCGACCACATCACACCTTGCCAGTCACACATGACGGGTCACAAGTCAAGAATCACCGGTTGCCAACCAACAGCATCCAGCAGCTGAGAGCGCGCTGAAAACAATCTGGGTTGACCCCAAACCCTTATCAGTGTAAGAAAATAGCTTGTCGTTGTGGTCAGAAAGCCTGTCTGTGTGTCTGCAAGCCTTGTCGCGGTAAGGACTTACTCTGTCCAGCAGCTACACAGTCAGCAGATGAGCACGCGTCACTAGTCATCCGGCAGTTGGAAACAGGTCATAACGGTTGTTCGCTAATCACAGGCGGTCGACCATCGCTAGTCCCTCCAGTCACTCGAGATCACTGGTCTCGGGATTGAGTTGAACCAAGACTGCACGAAGCGCTGCGACGTCTCAACGCCTGTTCCTGCAAGACACCTGGCATCATTCCAGGCATCATGCCTGATGCCGGCTCGTCATCGGAGTCGTCATCATCCGCGGGCTCGTTGCCTCAGCATTGATGCACGCTTGCTGCGAGTCGAGGAGTCCCAGATGGACCGACCGTCACCCAAGACTCCAAATCAGTGTTAGAAGGAACAGCAGTATTGTGCACAGCAGTGCCCCAGGTCCAGCCTTCTTTGGCTTGCTGAACCCCACCAGCCTGCTCAATTTGGCCCAGACGCACGTTCTAACTTAGCACGCTGGCATTGCTGGCATTGCCAACCTCGTGAAAAGGGAAGAATGTTTGGGGTGCTCCTCCCGCCGCCGCACCCTGAACAGGCAATAAGCATTTCGAAAAAAAACGCAAACTCAAACTTTCGGGCATACTACGACAGCAACTGCCTGACGGTCTGGCGTTTTGTCGCGCTTCTCCGCATACTCACAAGTCTGCACGTATGCATCAATTAATTTCTTTGACTTCCTTAGCCGGCGCAAAGACGAAGAGGAGCTGATGCGCAGTCGATTAGAACAGATGCAGGGTCTGTCTTGGCTAAATCGGCTAAATTCCAGCCTAAAATGAACCGGCAGTGTGTAACATGCCGTAACCTGCACCACCATGCCATGGACAAACAGCAGGAGTGTGTGGACGAGCACCCGAACAGCAACAAGCTGACCGCATGTTTCTCAAACACCGATTTTTCGTTGGAGTTCTTGGAGAGTTGTATCAGGCCTCAAGATGCAGCGGGCTCTCTGCGGTTCGCACTCAACCGCAGAGGTACAAGCGCATGAAGCAAGATCGTTGACGAGAACCCCGAGAGAGACGGCAACCACCCGAGGTAACGAAGCGGTGTGCAGTTGCAGAGATGCGGCCGAAACTTCACAGCTGCGAAACGGTTGAGGCGACTCTTCTACTACTAGTTACATAACCACTTCCAAGCTGTCCGAGCTTCAGCTTTTCGATGAACCTCCCAGTAAGATCGAAAACCAGGCAGTCCTGTCACAGCGACGAGCACATTCGCGACTGGCTCAGCTCTGGATCGGGGCTGCCGCCTTCAAAGTGATGAACGACTCCCTGTCTTCTCCGCCAATTCGCTTGTCCACTAGCTTTCCTGCACATGATAGGATCAGCGAATGGACGGGCAATCTTCAATCACAACGGACTCAGCGATCATGCATCAAGAACCACATTGCTCATAGCGGTACCCTCGTAGTCAGCATTGTCTTCTTCAGCGCCATGCTTCCCCGCACACCTGGCCGGCAGCGCGGATCGGCTCATGAAGCTGCTCGAATCTCCAGCCTGTACGTGATTCGGACATAGCTACCCATTTTGAAACCTGCGCAGCCACGCAGTAGAAAAGTGGAAGATCTCATGCCTTGCGGACGGGTGCCTCGGGTGGGCATTCTCCTGTTGCTAACCGGCTTGGTGCGAACCAAGCCTGCCTTCAACGCGAAGTCAACTAGCAACGAGCTTGACTGCAAAAGTCTGCATACAGTAAGTCTGCCTGGCCACCCATTGGGCCCGACATGGTCTCTGATGTCTCTGGGGCCTAACTGCACCTGAGGAGCGCTGTGGCCGGTGCATAGCAAAGGACACTGCAACAAGATTCATCGCAGGCACGCGCTGTGCAGTCACACGCAACAAGCGGAGCTTGGCGTCTGGGGAACATGACGTCTGGCTTGTGCCAAGAAAGCTGCAAACGGGATTGCTCAAACTTATGGCACTTTTCGTGCACTTCAGCATGTTGCATCATGTTGCCAAGGCTGCACATAAAGGACAGAGCCAACGATCTGATCAGAAAGCCCTGGTCCTCCTGCTGCGCAAGGAGCTGCTTCTGCAGCAAGCGCTGCTCTTCCAGGAAGGCTTTGCTTTCCTGAGCCAGATTCCTGGGGCCAGGCTTGGAAAGACATGACCTGAAACTTGCAGCACAGCGGGAGGAACTCTTGCCTCTCTGCCGTCTCCTTCGCCTGTCTTTGATTCCGGAGGAGGGCTTGCCTGCGGTCCTCGTGGTGGCACGGCATGACGATGCTCGTTGAAGCCGCAATATGCGTGGCACAGTGCCTCATCAAATTTGCTCTGTACCGCAGCGCTTGACAAGCTGGAGTGGATCTCCTGGTGTGCCATCTGGCCTAGCGAGATGCACGAAGCTGAGGCATCTGTCCCCGAAGCGGTGACTCACACATCTCTCCACAGAATGGCAGCGGGCTCGGTGAAGAAGACGTACCCATGAAGACCTACCCTCCAGGGGCCGCACTGGCAGCCAAAAAATCCTGAAGCTGAATACAACATGGGAGTCCGGCTCGAACCGGCAAGGATGGCGATGGTCCTTTCTCGTGGTGAGCTGGGCATCGCTAAGGTGAAACCGATCTCTGTTGTCCTCCACAGCCTCCGTGCACATCAGCACACGCTCAGGGCACTGTTGCCATCGACGGTCCCGCCTTGATGCTCTGTTGTACCTTACAGTGCTGCATCGTGCTGCCCTGTATTCTGCACTCTGATGCCCCTCCCGCCCGAGCCTCGGCAAGATCGCCGCTAAGCTGTGCCAACTCGGACAGGAGTTCTTTGTGGCATTCCTCTGGAAACATATGCCGGTGCTTATTAAACCAAGCTGCTTGCCAGGCAACTCTATGCACATGCAAAATCCTGCTATCCTGCCTTGAAGCGGCTGCTTTCCGTTGTGTTCTCATGCTGTAGCAATCGCTGCCACCTCGGCCGCTAAAGTCTGCGCATCGCTCATGATGCCATCGGAACGGAGGACCGTGCTCTTTGTGCATGCCCCGCACCTGCGGCAACAACTGGCATGTTTTCAGGGCGTCCAGCTCACTGCCAGAAGCTAGCAGGGCAAACCTTGCGGACCGCTGCTTCCACTTCATCCCTTGCCTTGGCGACAACCACAGAACAGCTTTTCTGCCCAACGAGAGTCTATTGCACATGGAAAGCCATACCGGCTAATGCGCAGTAATGCTTCCTTACGACCGCCACCTTTGCATTTCAGCATACAGCTAAACTTGGAAGATGAACACACAACGACGAATGATTGCTGTTCGTACTTCGTCCGTTGAAATGTTAAACCACCATGTTTTCATGACAAGAAAAGCCGACATGGAAGGATCAGGAAGCAACATGCACCCGACTCATATGACGACTCCCCCCCAAGAGCAAAGCATGTATGCCCCCCAGGTAATTGTAAACAATACTGTTTTACAATTAAGCGTCTCCCCCCTCATTTTACAATTATAAGGGGTGAGGGATATGTTAAGTGCGATGCAACTATGCCGACCAAACTCCCGAAACTGCTGCCTGTAACCTGCTACACGAGCCCAGTGAGGTGCAGATTGCAGATCTTACCAGGTCGGCGGCAACATCAAAAGGATCGCTGGATGTAGAGAGCATGACACTTTGCGCTGATTCTTGTGCAGCGAGGTTCTATGAAGTGCACTCTTCCTCGTGTCGTCAAGAAGCTAAGGCCACAAACGCAGACTTTCAATAATAGGCTAGGCACACATGGTTCGGGGGGGCAATTGGATTTACAGTACGTTCTGAAGGCCACTTTGAGGTACATGCAGAGATGTCTGTCTGAGCTTCAACAAGCTTCCGATTCGCTCAATCACCAGCAAATCTCGCGACGGTCCATGCAAGCATCCTGCATTTCTGCATCTTTGGCTACGCCCTACCCCTCTGAGTCCTTTCCCCGATCCGTTTTTGTTTGTTGCTTTGTGCTGTTTGCCGTTGCAACTGAGGTGCCGCAGCAAACTGCTTCGCAGTTTGGAAGCGGAACAGCTATAGCTAGAGCAGGTGCTATCACGCTGCCGGCGACTCAGCAATCCTTGCACTTTAGGAACGACCTTGCGAAAGGAACAACAGCCAAATACGTCAGATAGACAATCTCAGAAGCTCTGGGTCAGACTCGCTGTGCGATTTGAGCTTAAGAAGGGTTCTGGACTTGTCCCAAGGAGCGGGCCTCAGCCAGTTCGAGACTTTTACTGTTGACAACGAGTGTCTTTTTGCAACCTCTTGTACTCAGCTCACAGCTTCAAAAGCCGGAAGCTGTCGGACAAACCTTGCCGCGACTTTCAGCGAAATGTAAAACTTCTGAGTCGAACACCTTGGGAGTTCTGAGGATCTTGCCAGTCGTCAGGCCTACCCGCTCCCTCTTGGAAAGGAATATTTGCCTTAGTGCTGTATCGCGATGCGGCTCAAGGCAACAGCCGCTTGCGATGGAGACCAGAAAGGAGAAGACACAACACGGCATCTGCCGAAAGATCACAGAACTTTTGTGCCATCACATGCGGAGCGGGTTGGTGAAGTGGTGAGCTCCTGATTTTGTTGGACCGATCAATCTAACTGTGAGAGCGGTAAAGCCCGCTGAACTTGGATGATCCCCCACGTAGGATGGGCGCACCGGAAAACGAAAGAAAGACAGCAAAAGGTTTCCCTGGCACAATGCAGTTTTCCAAGGATGAGTACAGGTAGGAGCTGCTTGTGCTCCCAGGGATGCACGCAGCGCCCAAACAGCAGATAAAGGTTGAGTGAATGAGACGCCTATACTCGTTTTAGTGGGTTTCCACAGTGCTGCAATCTCTCTGTAACGTGTGTTCGTTGGAATTTGCCGCAACTGTTGTATCACGGGTTGACTCTTGAGCGGAGCAATCTCAACGTTACTGCTTCTGCCTGGAGTATATGATCGTCCCTCGAACTTCCGCCACATCAGGGTGTCGGAACAATCCTGCAGTGAGCGGTACAGCGACGGGGTGCGGGCCTGAACAATTTCAAGCAAGCCTACACGATTTTCGAGAAAAGGAAGGCACTGGTCAGACATAGCTTGCACGCTGTCGATAAGACAAGAGAGCCTTGGCAGTCTCTAAACCTCGGAGGCCGCATGTACCGCCCAAATTGCTTGAGCTCCAGACGCGCCAGTACCGTCAACTTTCCAACTCATGCGCGGCATTCTGCCTGGCTGGCGGTCGTGTTCAATCTCTCTGTGTAGAGATCCTGACCCCAGTACTCTGTCTGCGACCTTCATACGTCGCGAAGGTTGCTGCGCTGTGCTCCATGTCCTGCACAGGCGAAACGCCGATCATCTCTTCCGTTCATGACCGCCGTCACGAACGCGTCCTTTCTTCCTTCTACAGATGGAATCGCGGGCCCAAAACGTTCGGCTCGAGGAACAGTGCTGCCGACCTCCAAGTGTACACACTGTTGGCGGTTCCAACCAAAAGCGAGTGCAATCTTTCTAGCAATTTACTCTGTTTGTTTTCATTGGGTGGGTGGGCGGAAGTGCGAAGCAGTCATTATTGAAGACGGCCAAGATTTTTGCTTGGTGTGTTTGGTAAAGCTACGAAGATGGACTGGTAATCTTGTTTCAAGCTTGTTTGGGGGCACGTTCAAGCTCTAAACCTCCACTGTCCGTACACGTCTCTTATTATCTGTCTAATGCTTGCGGCATGGCCGACATGGGGCCTGGGGCCAGCAGTTGGAACACGATAGAACACTGAATTTGAACGTTGTGATCAATGAGCACCTCTTCCATTGGGCTGCACTGAAACGGACTGAAACTTTTCATTCGGACAGTGGCACTCAGCAAACACAACTTGTCAAACTCGTGTGTTTTTCTTTAGGATCAAGTCGGTAAACAATAGGCGGGATTGGCTGAGGCACTGCTGTGCTCGCGTCCATCGAGAACCATCTAGTAATACGCCCAGCCCAATACACCGTGGCGCGCCTTCCGCCCAAACCGGTTGGCATTCGTGTCTTTACACGCTCCCACCGGAGGTTTCCCTCTCAATTGCCATTCGCAATTCTCATCCGACTATGTGATTCCTATCTGCATGGGGCAAATGCGCATGGATCACGGTTTCCGTGAAGATGCCGACTAGTCTTCCTCGTCAAGGCTTAGTGAAACAATGGCTCAAGGACTAACGATCCCGAAAAATGTCTCAAACGGCACCGTGTCGCTGTTGGAATTGTTGGGCATGGGTGGATCTCCCAACTGGTAGCAGCATTTCAAAAAGCCATGGTCTTCACATCTATACCATTGACCTTTAATGTGATAAACCCCAAACCGAGGATGGTTGGCAAATAAGAAACCCGAAAGGGGACAAGGCACCCCAAGTTCTGATAAGAGATGATTGATGGGAGGCGAACCCCAAACCCGAAACCGCAAAAGCCTATGATGGATGCCAAATCTCCCTAAACAATGAACGGGGCGAGTGGGTCTCAGAACCCCAAACCCTAATCGGGACTGATGGCGTCCAACATCCAAACCAAAGCAGGGCTACTGAGTCTTGAAACACTGAAACCCTACTGGGAATGATGGGTGGCAAACATCAAGCTCTGCAAGCTGTGAATGTTAAACCTTCAACCCTAAAAGCTGCCTTGCAGCACCTTACAGGAGATGTCGGACCCCAAACCCAAACCTGGACAGGGTGCTGCGCACCCCAAACCCGAAAGAAAGTGGACCGAAAACCCAAAACCCCAACTCCCCAAACAAACTCTGACAAGAGATGGGGGGGTGGTAGAAGTGGCCAACCTACAACCCTAAGAAGAAAAGCCCAGTACCTCTTTAATCCTGAAATAGATATCACTAGTAACGAACCCCAGTCTGAAGGATGACAAGGCTCCAACGGGCATGACGTGCAAAGAGGATGGCTGGCAAATACTGAGAAACTCCGACAGGAATGGGTGCAGACCAGCACAACGGGTGATTGGTTCCCATGAAGCACAAAAGCAAATGCAAAAGCTTGTGCCCAAAAGACCGCCTTCTGTTTCCCCCCCGGATCCCCCCGGCTCCCTGAAGGCCCGGGCTCAGGCCCTCGGCTGCATTTTGTTGACAGCTTGCCAGGCTGCGTGCTTGTGTGGACTAGTCGTCATACTATACCTTCTGGGAATGCACAAAACACGGGAGCATGATGGTGATAGCGGCAGTGGTAGCAATGGCGATAGTAATAATGGCAGTGGTTTTGATAGAGATACTGGTGGTAACAGTGATACAGTGAGACGGTGACGGAGAGTGATAAGGGATACAACGCCCCGAAACCTTCGACAAACAAACACGATCAAACACTGCTACTCCGGCCGCCAGATGGTTGCAATTCGCACTAGCAGTTACCTCTCGAAAACCACGAGCACTGGCCGCTTTGACCGTACTATCTAGAGCGAACTGCCGCTTACGATGCATAATCGTGAGTCACTCAAAGGTGTCACCTTGAACTTGTTGCCACGGAGGGGATGTGCGTCTGGCATAACCTGCCCACATGCAGAAAAGCCTTGACACGTGAAAGAAACCGAAGTTCGCGCTGGAGCAACTTCTCAGTCTCTCAGCCTCCCCAAAGGATTCCGGACCTCTTTTGCAATAGCCTGGCCTGTGGCAGCTTCAGGATGAGAGGTTTCTGCAACGTCACACTTCCCTTCTCAGAGGCCGGCCCTCGCTCTTTCGTGAAATTTTCTGAATCCTCAGCCCACAGATGCTGCACGGCCACACCCACATTGGCTTCTTGAACAACCTGCGAGGCATAAGCCATAAGCATAAACAGGTTTAGCAAAAAGTCAGAGAAGGAGGCATAAGCCTCATAAGCATAAACAAGTAAAGAAGCATCCTGTTCCCAGCGACTTTCAGGATCACCGCGACATACCGCGACTCAAGGAGTACGTTTTGAGTGGAAGTGGGGCTTGGATGCCCTTCGGACATGCACACGTTATAAATTCCAAAGACACGCCACCTCCTAACCGCCCAGCTTGGTTCGGTGAGCTCTATGCCACCCCTCGCATAGATGTTGGTGTTGAGGGAGTCTAGAGACGAGATGAGACGAGTGCATCTGCCCCAGATGTGTGCAAGGACACCAGCTCCTCCCTGAACGCAAACACGACTGAAGGAGGCAGACGACGGCTTTGAGGCAAGCTGGACTTCGGAGGCCCACGAGTGAAAGCAAGGCCTCAAGTCAATGCTAAGACTGCGGCAAAGCCAGGAATCTCATCCGGGTGAAGCCTTGGCTCTCGTGACTCTCGTGTGTCACAGCAAGAGTACGATACTCGGGAGATTCTTCACCGTGAGAGTCAGTCAAAGCATTTGGGAGCATGTCGGTCTTTGGTGACAGATAATGGCTCACACTTGTCGGCTTGGCCAGAGCGCTCCTTCTCGGCACCGACACCACCGTGGAAAGACTCATGAAGACGCGCAAAACCGACGACTGATGAAGCGCAAATACAGCACCTGCAACTGCGGGCAGCTACGAATGAGGAGTCGCACCGGGCATGGATACATCACAAGCATCAAAACACTTTGTGGTCTGCTCCGCCGCGTAGCCATGCGTTGCCCCGCATTAAGGCGAAATAAACCCTCCTCCCTTCGCAATGTTAACAAGCTTATCGGAACAGCAACGTTCAAATCAGCGGCCACATCAAAAAATGACAAAAAACGCGTGCTACTTCGCCTCATGTTGAGAAATGTAACCGTCACAGGCGCAGAACAACGGGCACAGCACCAGTCCAGGACTACGGATGCTTTTTGACAAGGAAGCACCGCAAGCAAGAAGTAGACAATCACTGCTTCGCTTCTGGAGTAATGGATGCGCCGCGAATTTCTCAAGCTGACCACGCGCTGGCTTTGTTTGCCACGTGCCAACTCCATCTATTGGGCCCATCACTTCTGGAAATGCAGACGTGCCCTGTTTCAGACGTCGACGGAAGTCCAGAAGTCCAGGACGCGGTTTCTGTCCAGCTAGCAACATGGTGGACGTGAATACAAATTGCTGTAGATGCATTACGATGCCTTGCGGCGTTGACTCCAGGCCTTCGGCGTGCCTTCTTTTACTCTTTTCGCTGGAGTGTCAAGCATGCTCTGAGCATGCTAATCAAATTCACAGGGCCCAACCTTCGTGTGTTCATGACCGGCTTCAACATAGGCTTCAACTGAGCTGAAAAATCCACGATCTTTACGGTTTTCTCTGCGAGCCTCAGACTTGCAAATAAAAACCGTGGTTTGGAGCTTGTGAAATGAAGCTTGCAGGTCAGCTTTGCGTGTAACTGGCTGAGTTGTGCTAAGCTGTACCGACGTCCGACGTATCACATGGCTACAGTGACACTGCAGATGTGCCAAACGGTTGAGGAGGCATGCAAAGGCTCGGCCAGGGTGTCCGGGCAATACCAACGGGTGCAAAAAGAAACAACTCAGCCCCCTGGCTGAAGGTCGGCACGGCCAGTGCAGGCTCTCGGGAATGAGTAGAATCCAGCCGATGACGATATGTGCTCCGCCTGCAACAGGTCGCTCATGTGATAATTCCAAGAACTACATTCATTGCGTTCGCAGCAGCACATGTGCTTCTGCTAGAATTGCCGACATCGTTGCGCAACGGCATCGTGCCTCCGGGAACTGCACGTGTGTTGAAGCGAGGCAGACACTGCGCCTCGGCCGATGCCAGATGAGCACAGACGGCGTTGCCCAAGTTTCCTATCTGCGTCGCGACCAAGTTGGCACGAGCGCACGAACAAGCCCTAGCTCGCCCGGCCGGAACGACGAACAAACAAATGCCATCGCATGTCATCTTGCCGCCTCTGAAGCCGTATCAAAATGTTAGATTCTCTACCACGCTGTTTGTCTGGTTTGTTGCATTTGTGCTTGCCGACAGGCCCATTGAGCCGAGATGTGGAGATTCATTGGTTTTCTTGAGCCGAGCTAGAACAGGCTCGCGACTGGGGAGGATTCCGGCTCGAAGCCCTCATAATCCCAAGCTTCACTTCGGGATTTGGAGTGCCGCAGCTTCGAAGCTTCGTGGTTTCAGCGGACAGGGCTGCGAAGGGCTTCACATTTCGTACTGGCACCGGGGTCGCTGAACCTCACACCCCAGGCTCCAGCTCGTGTAGTGTAGGGTTTAGGGTTAGACAAAAGCAGCACAAAAGCTCCTAAAGCCCCTCTCGCAGACACACACATTACCACTTCCTGCGGGTGCCCATCTTCCAGCGGCACTCGGAACCGAAAATTTAAAGAGTGCAGGACTGCCCTGTTGCTTTGCCACCGTTTACCTCACTTTTGTCGGCATGTAAGGGCTTAGTCAATGCTTATAGTGAACTACTACCAACACTCCTACCACTCCTGCATAGCAAACTCACTGCCACTGCCACTACATGGCCACCACATGTCACCACCACGACCACGATCACCACCACGACCACCTCATCCACCACCTCCAGCACAACACCCAGCGCAAGCGCTAACCGCAACAGCAGTACAGCAGAGGGAGGAGGATGCGACAGCAGCAAACCGCTGCTTATGCCAATACGAGTAATGCTCAACATACTCATAATCCCTTTGATCCGAGCCGGCACTAAAACTAGGAATGATGACAAACGTAGCGTCCAGGAAACTCCAGCAACGAGAAAACGGAAACTCGAGGTGAATACCTGCTAGGTGAAACTGAAACAAGTATGGAAACGCACGGTGACGTGAGCCAGGTGATGCTGCTAATATGAGATGTGCGAAGGACAGCCTCGACCCTTACAGTAGATCATTCGCGTGTCATTCAGGACCCGCTATACAAACGCAGCTAAGCTGGATTGAAGGCAAGGAACCTGTAATCGTACGGGGGATCAGGATTTTTGGCTTCCTAGTCATCCGAAGGTCACACGGGATCGGAAACGCTGGAGCTGTTGGGTCGACGGCCTGCGAAGATTCAGGAGTTTCGCAGGAGATGCCTTACTCGCAGAACTTCCTGAACGCCACGGGTCGGCTGCATCACGTCCGCTGGAGCCGGATGCCCTGAAAGTTTGGTTCGTTGAACCGGAATTCTTTGCACGCATTTCAATCGGGAAAGGTTAACAGTACGTGTCCCTCCCTCGCCCTGTATTCATACTGTGGCCCGGTGCCTTCCTTCGTTCTTAGCGCCCAATACTGAAGCACTGCTGCAATGCCTGCGACGTCCTGGGGAGGTGGCTGGTGTCTGCGCGGCGCTTGGATGGGTGACCGCTGCTTGCGCTCGATCACCTGGTGCCGAACCAAAGCAGCGAATGCCCGCAACCACTCCGTTGCCATCTTACACATCTTCGCTCTGGCAAGTCCGAGACCTGCTCACGTCTGGTTTTCGATGTCACTGCTTCATCCTTGCACGGATCCAGACATGCTTTCCCGGGACCAATTATCGAGCATCCGTAGCTCAAATACCCACATTTACGTTTTTCCGCATGTCCTCCGTGGCATTCAAAGCTCGCAGGACTTTGAACTCCTGTATTGAGATGTTGCCGTTGTTGTTCCGGTCGAGTTCCTTTTGCGAACAGCATTGACCTCGTACTGGCTGAATGAAGTTAACGTCAGAGTCGTCCTTGAACACGGATCGGGCGTTCCCGGTGAAGTGCAATGCCCTAGCCTCAAGATCGAGCATGCAAGAGAAGGGCAAGGTAGGACGAAAGACAAGCTGACGGCCTCTATCTAATAAAACTTCACATGTCAAGAACCTGGTGACCCTATTGGCAACGAGGGCCCCGACGCCAGACACAAACTCGGTCATCCCGAGCTGGTTGTTTCTATTTCCGTCGAAATGCTTGTAAGCCTTGGCTCCAAAAGTCGTGATCTCGTCTCTACTCGGGCGCAGCACGGCCTTGTCTAGAGTGTCGAACTTCTTGATGAGAAGGGCGGCAAAAGCACCTCGAACTTCAAGGGTGTTGCCAAGGCGGAACCCATGCCAACTTTGTCATACTCGCCAGCAGCTGTGCGGTGCACAACCCAAGCTTGCATGTCTGTCTGCCTATCTAAGCGTCCATTGATCACGAATCCATGAGAATTCTGGTAAAATGACAGAGAAAAGAAAAACTGAAGCTGAGGTGCCATACATCCTCCCTCCTAGGTGAGATGCTCGCACCCTGCACGGGCGGACTTTCCGGAGAGCCGATGACGTCTGCGATCGTCAATCGCATGCCAACTTGCTGTGGTGATGTTGCTTCCTGCCTATTTATAAGCGAGTTGCGCTGCTTCCCGCATGAACGTAAATAAACTAGACACTGTCATGGTTCGCCGCATCTCGCTCTGGACTACGGCGACTACAGACATTTCGCAGGTGTCAGTAAAGCGGCCACTGCAACTGGAATTTTCTGTATCCGGCGCAAATAGGATATAATGTCTGAGGAGTTTGTCCAAAAAAGACGTGCAGACAGGAATGTTTGCCGAGCGTTGCAAATTGAATTTGCTCTCGGCCGAACGGTGCAGATTGTTTTTCTCGGCTGTTGGGCCATCTGGGTCACGAGGACGCCCGAAAGGGTTTGCTAGAAACGAAGCAACCGCAAAAATCGCTCCTTTTTGCTTTTTGCTCGGATGTCCTTTCTGAAGCATCCGGGCGTGGGAGAGGGCCTCTATCTGCACCGTTTCCACAGCTTGTCGCGTGATGTCGCATGTAAGGCGGTTGAAAGCCCCCGAAAAATGAAACAATCAAGCAAAATCAAAAGAAAGGTCAATACTATACCAGGCAAACATACATACCGCCATACCTACATACACACGTGCACGCGTACACACATATATTCAAAAATAAACACAAAGACAGCGTGGTCGAGTCTTACAGCCACTGCCAGCCTCGAGGAGCTCCAGGCACTGGATAGGAGCTCCAGAACCCCAAAAGTCCTAAAACCTCGCCACACGTGGCGCAAACTCACGTGCCTCATCCTAAAGCATTCTCAGCCTGAGCTACTGGACTCCGCGGAATGATAAAGCCTGACGTCCCGCGTCCCTACCTGAATCCAGATCTGATCTTGGGAGACCAGGGCCCTCCCTTGATGTCAAGCTTTCACCGGAGTGGACGTGGCTTGTGCCAGGAACAGAGCCTGGTGCTTTGAGAGGTGGGTCCAGGAACTGTAAGCGTCATCGAAGCCTAAGAACGCTGCGTGCAGACCTACAGAACAGCAGGCCCCGGGGTTTGCCTAGGAAAACCATGCGTTGTGTAAACCTACATAGACACATACATACATACATTCATTCATTCAAAGGCACTGAATCCGAGTCGGGCGCAGCCTATACATGCATCTAATTAACCGTTTGGGGCCGAAGGGGAGGCAGTATGCACTCAGGAGAGCAGCAGATGCTTGTGTCTGCAAAGCATGTCCTGGAACAGAAATCTGCCAAGCCCTTGGCCGTTTGCAGAAGCAAGTGCTAGCAGAGGGGACGTAACCGGCAAAGTAAAAACCGTCTCCTCGGCGACTCGCTTTCAAACAAAACCAATAGGGTGTGAAGTAAGAACTCCATGAGCTACCACGAAAGTCCAACCCCCAATAAACGAAGGCGGTGCAGCTCATCACGTTTGTGACACAGCTCCGCGCGTCGCATCAGCACCACAACAGGCTTCGACCACCGGGGTCCCACATCCGCTTGTAGAGCAGGCCATGTTCGTGCAAAGCAATGCCCTCAATGCTGCCCGAAACATTTCCTGCGACGGAACGGCTGATCACAACCACGGCGACGTTGACCTGCCGTTTGGTGGCCTGTCTAAGAGCCCATGTCTTGAACTCCGCATTCACAAGATACGCCATGGTTGCTTGCAAGCCCCATGCGCTTGCGAGTTGATGGCAATCAACAACTCCTGTCCAACGCTGCACAGGGTCACTGGCGCAGCAACGGTTGTCCAGTTCACAGCCATCGCGACCTTCAAATGCCCCAGCGCCGCTTGCGGGCCACCTGTCTCCCTGAACATCAAACCTTCAAGAGGTTCCCAAACACCTTTCCACTCGGTGCAAAGACTGCCCATATCGCGTGAAAGCAAGAACAGCTCTCTGCCGCGTCCATAGCCAGTGCAACCACCACCCAACATGTTACCAGTGCCCCGCACGGAATCAAAGCAATGGCATTCCACTGCAGCAACCGAGCCCTCAGGACTGGCACTCGCACTCGAGTCATCGCAGCCATTTGCCGCCAAGGTATTCAGGCTATCTTCACAGTCAACCGAGTCTTCGGCACATATTGCATGACATGTATTCCAGTCTTGGCGATCATGCCCTGCTGAAGGATGCACTGCCATGTGCGTACCAAGATCTGACCATTCGCCCAGACATGACGAAAGTCTCAAAGGAGGATCAGCCATACATACAGAATTAGCGCAATCGCAAGCTGTGTCAACATGCTCTGCTCGACCTGTGCTGTTAGGCCCCTCCTCCAGTCGACAGGTACAGAAGTCATCCAAGGTGGGCCAAGGAGTGTTGCGCCCAACCTCTGTATAACGCGGCCACCGTGTGCCTCCGCATTCATAACATTTCCCGGGCAAGATGCCCTTCCGGCCTGCAAACATACAGACATGCGCTCTAGTCCGCAGCGTTCCTCTTCCCATGACGGGCAACTGACGAGGAACTGGGGCCGCCAGCAATCTACGGAGTGTTCTGGGCCCTTACATACATACATACATGCATACATGCATACACACATACATACTCATACATATATACACATACAAATATATATATATATATATATATATATATATATGGGCCCAGTCCACCTAGATGTTTTTCTTCTACTGTAATCTCCTGAAGAAGCACCCAGCGGTAAACCTCCAATTCCGCAAAAGATCTATCAACGCCCGAAACCTACTTCGGAAAAGTTTCTAGATGCACCGCTTAAGCAAAAAAGAAAAATCCACTATCTGCACCGCTCGGCTCATAATGCTCAAAACCCTCGAACCCTCAAACAACATTTCCTCAAATCCGCCGAGGCCACAGGCCCAGGCGTCTTGGGGGTCACCTCAAGTACCCTCCACCTAATCCTCCTCCCTGCAGTCCGAAAGTTCGGGGACACCCGCTTCTTGCATTCATTTGCAACCCCCTTGCCCGGCTTCCCTTCACTTTAACGGATTTTCTGGCCTTTCCCCCCTGATCCCCTCTTTTCCTGCTGCTGCTGCTGCTGCTGCTGCTGTTTTCTCCCCCTCCCTCCCCCCCCGGTCCCGCCCAGTCCCCTGCCGCACGTAAGCAGCTCTACGGCACCTCCACACCTGTTGAATCGTGGGAATCCTGCTCAAAGAAATCTCAATATAGCCGTGACCTGAACAGATTTCCTGAGTGATGCAGAAGGCTTTGCCGTTTCATCCGGCGCCTGCACCTGAGGAGCCGAGGTGGGCGGCGTAGCGTCAAAATTATTTCTATCTGCTGCCGTAAGATCAACGGCCACTGGTCGTCGTTACTAGGGCCAGATTCCGGCAGTCAACTGGCCATCCGAGCGATCTTCTTCATTGTTGCAGCAGAGTGGGCTTGCTGGGCAAAGGCCGCAAACTCCCTCCACAGCCCACAGTCTCAGCATCTGTTAGGACTGTGCGACACCCTGTTTCCCCGACATACCTTTCGAGTTTCGGCCACTGCCCGTTTCCGGGTGGCTCGCTACCTGGCTCCCAAGTGCTAAGAGGTGCTATGCGAATTGCAAGAGCAGTGTATGATGCTGTCTTTGACCGACAAGCTGAAGAGCAACATAGCAACAGGAAAAAGCATGCTGTTTCATGGTAGGCATGCTGCGCATCTCGGAGTAGATATGGCCCGCGAAATGCTCCTGCGCACAAGACGGGACATAAGTGGCAGGCGGTGAGAACGCACACGAAGTGAAACGGACGACTGAATGGTCGTGCGCACGGCTGTCCCACCTTTCCATCTTTCTTGCGTGACACCGATGGCAGCAGCGTGAAATTCATTGAGCTGGAGCCGTATGAGAGCTCCTGACAATCCACTGCTCAAATCAAAGCAGCGCAAGATCTGGAATGAAGGCAGTCGAATGTCAGACGTAGCCTGAAAGAATCTGGGTGATCCTTTCGAATCCTTTGGTGATACCTGTCCGGAACATGGCGGGATCTGGCTCGGGCTAAGGCCAAGCATCGAAACCCACGAGAGTTCAGAGAGCGCACGGGGAGCTTCTCCTCCGTATCCTGTTTTCGAAGCTCACGAGCATACACGAAGGGCCTTGGAATGCTGAGCTCGAAGCTAGATCATATTCGAGAATACCGGTTACCAGTAGATCGTGCTTTGGGACCGAATCAAGCTGTGGGCCAACCAAGCCCGAAGCCCACCCTTCGCATTGGCCAGATCAGCAAAGGAGATGAAGCCGTCCTTGTCCTGTGTTTCGAAAGTCCAGCGCACGGTGAAAAAGCGTATCCATATCGGGCAGCAGGGGATCCTTGTCCATAGCTTTGAAAAGCCGCAGCAACACAGAGTCACACGTGCGTCTTGGATCCTTCAAGGGGTCGAACCTGGATCGGTGCATGCACTGGCACGTCCATAGCCTACAATGACTTCCAGTATGCTGCCCAACCGAACCTGCGCGACTCTTTCGACCCAGTTGAAAGCAGCTGGCGCAACCCCTCCTCGCTGCCGCTCTGTCAGAGTTCTGCATATGACTCATGCGACGGCTAGCTGCTAGCTCCTGCCATTCCAAACAGGAAAGGCGTCCATCTTGGAAGAAATCTAGCTTGTCGAAAGCGGCCTGCAGAGTTGCTGCCTCAACTTACAGCTTCACATGCGAGAACCCTCCAGGACAGGGCCTTCAGGGTTCCGTGCTTTTTGGTCAGCAGCAGGACCTAGCTTCTTGAAGGTGTAACTTCAGACAACATCGGACTCGGACTGTCATTAACCAGTTCGAGTGCCGCACGCAGTCATCCAAGCTTAACATCAACAATTGCTCCTGATCAGATACTAAGCGGTGCCGGTCCATCAACCACCGATTATGCATCTCTTTTTAATGTGTGTCCCTCGCGAAGCTGTCCAAGGGATACTGCAAACATCTGCAGCCCGTTCATGGGCCGGCCTCTTCTGCCATGACTCCTCCTGCCCAATGCGACAAGTGAACTCGGCTCACTCCTGCCTCCGCGCATGCTCCACGCCTCCTGCCTCGATCGCTCTCGAGGCCCGCTTTCAGGCCCAGGGAGGCGGCACGGGCAGTGGAGTGGCATCCATGTCTTAAGAGTACTGTTGGGTACAGAGGTTGCCGTAACGGTTGTGAAGGTGGCTGTGGCTGAGAGGTCGTGTTTTTGGGGCTCCGAGACTGCACTCCTCCAGTTACGTCATATGCCAAGGCCAAACGGGCCGGAAAGGCAATGCTTCATGAGCCAGGAGAAACAAAGCGTCGACCCGCAACAAAACCGTCGACCTTTGGCATCCATTTCCGGCCCCCGCCCCCCCTTCCCACGCATCTCCCTTCCCCCGCCCCTCACCTTTGCCTTTTCCGAATTTCCGAAGACTGCTGGTCACAGCCTTCCGTTCGTCCCATTCTCCCTCTCCCTCCACCCACTCCCGCTTCTTCGATGGCTTGCGGTGTATGACTGCAGGTCTCCCACAAGCCGAGGCGGCCGGCATACCGCCAAAATTATAGTTCTGCGAACATTGAAAACTCGCTCCTCTCAAGCTCGACTTGTTGACTGCACGTGACTTCAGCTTCTGTCACGTTTCCAAGACAGCTATCTCTGATTCAGGACGCTGTAGAGATGCCAAGCCGTCTTGGCAGCATCAACTGTACCTGTCCTGTGAGCAAATTCCCTGTGAAACTCCGAGACGAGACGGAGGGCAGTCCAGCTTCGTCCGCCTGAGCTTGTCCTGCAGGACCAACGCAGAAGTTGGCCTCGGCTTGAAGCGGAATCTACCTACCAGCTCGTGATTTCGGGGTAGGGTCAAACCAGGGCCACCACATCTTCACCCCCTTGTCGAACGCGACCATTTCGCTGACATCACATTACCTCAAAAGATGAGACATGCACGAGCGCTTCAGGCACGCTTTAAACCGACTTTTCCATTCGTAAGTGTAGGACAACGCACATCTCCTCGATTTCTTCAAGCGGAGGCGCCTCCGAGTTTCAAAGCGACATGCGTTCAAACGAGTTCAAAAGAGTTGGCTCTCAGGGATGAACGGGGAGCTCCGCTTCTCGCAACCATGGCCTGGGCAACGGCAGGTTGAACAGCACCTTTCCACTGCGCCATCTGGGAAAGCAGCTCCAGCTGCCCTACAGGCTTGCCATATTCCGATTCGTACCATGCCTTTGATTGCGAGAAACACTCGAGCACACGTCGATGTTGAAAAACATTTCCGTCCCAGAAGATTTCAGCAAGTAAGCCTCGCACCAGCCAGCTGCACACGCCAGCAAGCTTGTCCTGAGAATAACTAGTCAAAGGACGTCAAGCCTCAAGCCCAAGCTTCAGATAATCCGCTGACGACTAGCAGTGAGCATCGCACCTTTCCCAAGTCCCTCGCTTTGTACAGATCGTAAAACCTGCGGAGGTGGACTTTCAGAACGCAAAGTTAAAACAAAGACAACTGTGGTGTCAGGCGTCGGCTTATTTGTGTATTCAACCGTGTCCACGCCAGCGAAGAGCCCCCACGTCAGGTCCTGCACGGCCCGTGCCACACCCCCGCTTGGAATCGCTTCACAGTCATCAGACGTGGCATGGTTACTTTTCGTCCTTGCCAGTCAGACTAGCGTATGGGCCGTCTGGATCGTATTTGTCCGGACCTGTCCAACAGCACTTCTCTTGGAGATAGGTGCATGCATGAGCATGCTTCCAAGCAGCGGTCTGAGACATCAAAGATATTGCCATATACTGACAATAGGTATCTCCGATCTGCGTTTTCGGCGTCGTACCTTCAGATGCGAGACAAGGTTGGCTGCGGGCTGACTCGAGTCTGGATCCATGTCCGAGCCATCTGCGCTGCCAATTGCTCTGCCGAAAGCAAACCAACTGGCTGCTGATAGTCGGCAGGAAGGATGACATCTTCTGGCCTGCATGCAAACTCAAGAATTTGCGCGCAGCTTGCCGCTGCTGGCGTTGCCAAATGTTGCCAAACTACTGAGCAAAGCACCTGTCCATTGGCCTGTGGCCGCCAGAAAGCTGCAGGCTCTGCTTCTGAGCGTCCTCGCATACGCTCGGGACTTCCCGAGCCTAGGGCCAAGCTCGAAGAGCCCGCAGATGTCCTCGTAATGGTCTGTCTGAAGAGTCGACCTCTTAGATTTTGCGGCTTCCGCCCTTTCTTTCAATTCCTCGTACTTGGACCTGAACATGTCCTGGGCGCCACATGCTGCGAGCTGCTTTGAATGAACCTGCCATTGGAATTAAGGTCGCTGCCACCATGGCTTTCTTGTACCCCTTGCAATGGAATCACACTTAGCCTTCGTGCGTGGATTCGAACAAGAATTGCCTGCCGTTCTGCTTCGCTGGGCTCTCCATTTTTCCACTCGTACACATCGTCAGATGACCTTCGGAAAGAAGAGGTGCAGTAAGCAAATCAAACCAACAACAAAAAACATCAGCTAAACAGACGGACGTCTTTTGACAGAACTCTAAAGCAAATTGGCTCCGCGCTTTGGAGCAGTTCTCTTCTGGAGAGCATCAGCCGCTTTGACAGGGCCTTGTGGGCACGGTGCCTCAGCCGGGCCAACAAGCCTTCCACCGCAAACTTCCAGAACTGGCAGACAAGGAACCACTTCGCCGGGACACGCTGCTTTGGCCTGCGCTTAGGCAAGTAGCCAGCACGCGGGCAGACTCCACCCGGGTGCACATGCAGTGACATCATGATCACCTCAAGCATGACTAATCGCAGAGAGTGACAACACAGGCTAACCGAAGAAGCATACATCCCTGAGAGTGCACTTTTCCTGCTGCTTTCGAAGCAGTGGCGAAGATTGCGATGTTCCAGAGTTCTCGACGTCCGATATCGGTGATGCCGGATTTTCTACAGAATGCATTGGGAGAGTGGCCCGATTCCCATCCATGGTTGGCGAGTCCTCCAATCGCAGCGATCTGACTTGAGCTTTTTGGTCGACGAAGTCTCGAAGAGGCTGTGTTGCGGGCATTCTCTTGAGCCGATGTCCGATCCCGTCGGTTGTGTGCTGTTTTCGGTGCGCCACACTTGAAGCAGTTGAGGGGCTGACGTGTGTCTGCTTGGACGACGAAAGAGGTCATCTGTGTGGATTCACTGATTCACTCCGGGTGCAAATCGCCTCAGTGGCAAAATGTCACTGCGAAGTTGTCTCCAGAGTGGTAAGCGGGAGTTGGCACCTCGAACTCAATTACAGGATCTCACGAAGATTTCGGTGGCTCGGCGGGAGCGATCTGCATGTGATGCAAAGGACTGTCGGTGTCCAGGTGTCCACGATCGCAATGGCATGCTCGCGACACGTCTCGCGGTTGTGACAGGATAGGTTCACGAGGTCTGCAAACGATGCTCGAAGAGGTTGACGTCCAGCGTCCAACTTGCGCGACGAGCGTCCGCAAAAGAAGCCTGAACATGGTGTCAAACCGTACAATAGAAAGACGTAGTCCGCGGGGCGGGGAAGTTGATGTTGGGATCTACCCACGATTGCTACTACATCCATGAGGGAGCGGGGCCTGGAGATTCAAGTAAACACCGAAGTTCGTCATGCGGCTGAAATCTGTCCGGCATGGAAGTGAGTGTTACGCGTAGGTCATGCCATCACCGAAGATCTCCCATCGACGATCTGGGCAGAATGCCGCACATGCTGCAGGAATACGGAAAACATTTTAGCGAGCCTGAAACTGGAATCCAAAATCTGGGGACTCAGTGTTGTCTAAGTCGCGGCAGTGTGCGACATGGAAGTGGGACTGGGCGGCACAGTCGCAAGTTGTGCAAACGTAGAGGCGTGGACTCATCTTGGCACCGGAGCAGGTGGGTTACTGGTAGCAGCACCATGGCGAGCGTCAACCGTCAAAGGCCGAAAGAAGAACAATGAGAGATCAGTGAAGCGTAGACACGTGGTTCTCACTGTTAGTGAGCCGATGAGACGGGGAAACTGGTTGTAATTGTGGCCGAGGGGCGAAGGGACTGGGGCTCGACAATATCTGGGAAGATCCACGGAGCGCTGGCACAAAAGGCGAACAAGGAGTTTGCGAGAAGAGTAGCCATGACGATGCAAATCGGTGTCAAGCGAAAGAGAAGGAGAGAATAAGGAAAACGAAGCTTTCGCCCAAATGGCCACGGATTTATGCAATGCTCAATGAAGCAATGCAACTGACCGGATCAAATCCTACTGGCCGACAAGAAGAACCGCTCTCTTTGTGACATCGAACAGAACTGCTCCACACGTCAAGCACGGGGTTACATGCAAACCACGTGGAGCCTCTGCAATGCTCTTCTGCAAATCGATCTTCAGCTGCTGGAGAGCCTGGAAAGCACTGCGGTACTGCCTTTGCCCTGACACCGTGCTGCATTGAAGACTCCACCTTGTTGTCTGATTGTGTGTTCAGGCCCTTCTTGCAAATACTCAGGGCCTATCCAGCACCGGTCGGGGCGATATTGACAAGCGAAGCGCTGCAGTTAGACTTGCAGGATGTCCTCGTCGTGCTTATCCAGGAGTTGCAGAGCCAATGCTCTGTTGTAGTATGCCTTCATTACATTCGTCACAAAGTGGACCCAGACGTGTCCGTCGTGCGCCTTGACGTTGCTGGGGTCAATCTCCTGAGCAATCTCGGCATCTGTCGCCGCATCCTCCAGGTTGTTCAGTTTCCTGCAGACGGGCAAAGCGATGCAAGTCAAGCCGAGACGGTCGAGGCGGGAGAGGGAAAGATACCGAAAGGTCAAACAGCCACTGATCTTCGGCATCAAATGCAACTTGCAAATCATGGCTCCTGCCGCAAACTACACGGATGGACGATTGCGAGAGGTATTCGGAAAGCGTGCTACAACAGCCATCTAAGGCATCTACATCGATGACATCACGTGGTTTCATCCGCAGGATTTATCGGTTTATGTAAGCTGCGTGGGCAAGATCAACCTTCTGCGAGTCATGGTCATGGCACCGACAATTAGAAGGACCTTGACAGGGTGCTTCGTAGCATCTGCGTCTACATCAGATTCAATGATTTCATCTGTAGCCGATCAAGATTGACGACGAGCACGAGGAACGAGGAGGGACCTCATTCAGGTCGGAGGAGTATCACGGCTGAAGACAGATTCCGCGGATCCGAAAAACTTCCGGACTTCCGGGCATCTCAGACGGTCGACATGAGGGCAAAGATTGGCACTCACGCGTGCACAGGCTGAAAGTAGCTGACATCGCGAAGCCAACGGTGTGCATAACACATCCCAGATTCCCGAGAACAAGTGAGCGAGAGAGAGGCGAGGCCTGTTGCAAATTGACCGGTTCAGCCAAATGCTGGCATCGTACATGTAGGTTTCCTGCGCCACCCACGCTCATGATGACATAGACGCGTCGCACATGGGTAGACTACTCTCCGACAGGGCACTGCTGCTCGCGTGTAGACGTCCAGTGCTTCAGTGTACTCGCTCCTCAAACAAGGCAAATCGGTGCCATGACACGCGCGTCATGAGTCTTTCTCAATCCGTTTTCTCAGATGCCAACTTCTTAAAATGTTCGTTGCCCTTTACCTTGAGCTCTGTTGCCGCAGCTTGCACGTCGGGCTCTCCACCTTCAGAACAGTCGCGCGATTGATCAGCTGCAAGCGCCTATCCTCATCTCTCCCTGTCGACTCTGCCTTCTGAAGGCTGGTCCTCTGTGGCCGGAGCCGGAACCGATGTCAAAGGAGCCTTGGGAAGGTCTCACGGCAAGTCGGTTCAACTGCCAGGCTCAGGGCTTCGGACCCTTTGGCCGTTGTCTGTTCCTCATCTCATCCGTGCCGTCTCCAAAAACAACTGTCGTGTCTGAACCCCGTGGCAAGGCTGAGTTCAAGTCTGCGCCGCGAGCAGGAGAAGGCGCCCCAGAGCCTTGCCACCACACCCATGTTCAGGCCTGAGTCATGCTGTCAACTTCAGACTCGACAATCCAACTGCACTGTCGCTCATGCACACGCCGCCATGCGTTTTCAAGACGATCCGATGGGTTCGACAACGCTGTTCTGCATGTACCGCTGCTTCGGGCAATCTGAAGGCTGCACAGCAAAAAACATTCAACCTGTCAGACTTTCCGACAGGATTAGAGTTGTGTTCGTGTCGTTGCCCTCAGGCCACGACACAGACAGGATCTGGCAGTCTGTTGCAACTTGAGCCATCACGACTTCTCGAGTCATTGTTCTTGCCGTTTGCAGCACACTGAGCAGCGGAGCAATGCAAACTCGTTTTAGATGTTTTAGGCTGTTGCGAAGATGGGGAAATTGGGATCGGGAGTGAAACGCTTTCTCCAAAACACCTCACTTTGGAGGCGTTTCCTCACCAGCCCAAGAGGGACCTCTTTGGCTTCTGGCTCCTCTTTTCAGACCTGAAAGGCTGACAGGAGAATCGAAACACAAAGCAGCGGGCCTGCGCCCATCCCGGCATATTGTGGAAAGAGCGCTTTACAGGTACTTGGTGCCCTAAGTCGCTGCAGTCGAAAGTCGCTGCAATGCTTGTTCTCCTTCTCCCCATTGTGACGCACATGAGCAGCCGGCGAAAGTCACATCACCCACCAAAACAACACACCACAAGTGGTAAATCACCAGTGTGACACACGATATGACAGGGCACCGCCGCAGAAGGAAAACTGCGCGATTCGATGGACATGCTGCGAATTGCTGCGACAGCCCTGTGAATATGTGGAACCCGAGATTCACATCCCCTAAACCGCATCCCCGCGACGATTTGGCATGGTAATCTACTCTTAAACGCAGACATGTCCCAAACACAAATGTTATCCCGGCCATTACCAATGTAGACGTTCGAGTTCGCAGCATGCCGGCGAGACACAAGTCAGTCGCATCAGTGATATCTTACTTGATCATCCGTAGCATCACAGCACATCAGAACCAGCCATTTCTTGTGTAGACACTCGATTCTACAGGCAACCTCACGAAACACAAATGTGGCATTACAACACACCGAAAGCAGCCTGTCCCCGAGTGGACGCTCGAATCCACATGGAACAATCAAATCGTTCACAAATGGAAGTGACTCTTTGAAGCGCGATTCCCGACCGAGGATGCTCATCGATTCGTATTTCGAGGATAGAGCGCCCACTGGTAGCGGTAGCAGTCACGGCCTTGGCGGCCTTGGGCTCTCCGAGTGCCGGACCCCGGCAGGAGGAGCGCAGCTTCCTGGAAGAACTGCAGAAGGCCTCGTGACTCGTGACGGCGAAGCCTTTCTGAATCTGCCATCTGCGAGGTCCCAGCCTTCTTCGGCTACTTCACTTCCTCGACTAGTGTGACTCAGAAATAAAAAAAACCTCACATCGCTATTTCGCTGGCCACTGGTCCTTCAGCACTGAATGCTCCGCTCTCGGCTCTTTCCCGCTTTTCCTCCGAAGCTTCGGGTACGTTTAGTCTGTAGAGTGTAGCCTGAAACCTATATGCAGGGTTCATGCAGCAATTGCAGCATGGCGCTGGCCTGAATCAAAGCATTGAGCTCCTTGCGCAGCTGCAAGTTGTCCTCAGGCGAGCGGATGAAGAGCGTTGCCATCCAAATCAGCAGCCCCTCAGGCGGTCGGCGCTAAGAAGCCGCTCCTCCAGCGCCTGCTCCAAGACAATCCCGTCACCCGAGCTGGCAGCGGCACCTCAGCTCGGCAACCGTGACGAAGGCAGACGGAAGGATGGCCAGTCCAAGCCTGCTGTCAACAAGAAGGATGTGAGGGTCTAGCACGGGAGTCTAGAGTAGAGCATGCTGCAGTACGGAGAGGGCTGGAAAACTGCCAACTGCAGTGACAACACCGACGGTATCATGCGGTATCACGGTTGGAACGAGCTTGGGTTCGTTTGCAAAGGCCGTCTAGCTACGAGCATCTCTTAAGAGGTGGACCAACTCAACTGCATTGAAGACTTGACATTTTTGCATGCAACAGCGAGGCTTGCTTCCGCTTACCTGTCTCGTTGCCGCCGCATGGCTGTCCAGTTCCTCCCGTCTGCTCCTCGGCTCCTTCCAAGCCCCTCGTTCCGTCCTATACTCCTTTCTTTCTGTTCCGATCCTGTAGGGAAAGACAACACAGACGCAACGTCAGCACATCTCGGACAGAGTGCTGGATGTCGTCCCTGTGCTACTACAGTCCGAGAACTGAGAAAATTCACAGTACTTCACAGGCATAGACAATTGCATCCTGTTGCTGCTTTTGATGTGATGTACGGTGCAACCCGGAGCCGAGGCCGCCACGAACCTGCCAGCGCCAGCAAGGCGTCGTGAAAAATGGACTCAACTGCTAACAGCTCGCGAAGCTCCCCCGCCCGGGCCTCCTTCAGAGAGCTGGACACGTCCTTGGACCAATGCAAGCAATATCGTCAAACATCTCGCATCCGTCACTTCCACTCGTTCACCCCGATTTCCCCCCGCCCGTGTCCCAAGCGACATCCTGGAAATACGGTTACAAACTCTCGCGTCAGTTTCTTCTTGCCTGGGCCTGGGTGGACCAGGTCTCGATCTGTCGACAAAAGCAAGGTCAGACTGGGGAAGACCATGAACATTTATTTTGCGTCATCCCCATTGTCAAGCCCATCGTCCACACGGGATTGTTTAGTTGGCAGAGGCCAACTACGACAGAGTCTCGCAGGGGCACTCCAACCGCAAGGCACAGGACCCGTGCTGCACAGTCGAATTTCGAATCACTTACAGCGCGGTTCGCTTTCCATGATACCAACCCCAGGAAGGGCTCGACAAGATAGATTGCAATCACATACATCCCAGAAGTTCACACGAAAGATCGTCCGTCTCAGAGGTTCGACTTGAATGGTCATAGCTGTCCGCATCTCAGACTTCGCGGGCTGGACCCCTGCTTGTTCTGCAGCTGGTCTCAGGCGATTGGGCTTAGCACTTGGCTTCTTTCGTGCGCTTCTAGGGGAAGAGTCGTTCTCATCGTGTCAGGTGGCAGTTTTGTAGAGATTGCCGCTCATTTGGCGACGGGTTCTGCGTTAGTACTAATACTACTACTACTACTACTACTACTACTACTACTACTACTACTACTACTACTACTACTACTACTACTACTACTACTACTACTACTACTACTACTACTACTACTACTACTACTACTACTACTACTACTACTACTACTACTTACTACTACTACTGCTACTACTACTACTACGAATACTACTACTACTACTACTACTACTACTACTACTACTACTACTACTACTACTACTACTACTACTCCTACTACTCCTATTCCTACTCCTACTTCTACTCCTACTCCTACTGCTACTGCTACTGCTGCTGCTGCTACTGCTGCTGCTACTGCTACTGCTGCTGCTACTGCTACTGCTACTGCTGCTACTGCTACTGCTGCTACTGCTGCTACCACTGCTGCTACTGCTACTACTGCTACTACTGCTACTACTGCTACTACTGCTACTAGTGCTACTACTGCTACTGCTACGACGACGACGACTACTTCTTCTTCTTCTACTACTACTACTACTGCTGCTACTGCTACTACTACTACTACTGCTACTACTACTACTACTACTACTAATGATAATAGTTGTATCAGTAGTAAGTCGTAGTTACCGTGGGCCTCAGAACGGAGCAGGACGAGACCTGAAGGATGAGGGTGGACAAAGAAAAGTGATGCGGACAAGCAGAAAAGCGGAGGAGCATAAGAGTGAAGCAAAAAAGGCAGAGGGGCAAAACGGGAAAGCAGAAAAGGAGAGATGCGGAAAAGCAGAAAAGCAGACTCAGACGCCAGAACAAGCAGAAAACGAGACCTGAACGCACGCAGAAGGCAGAACGAACGCCGGAAAAGCATATAAGCGGAGGAACAGAAAAGCGAAGCAGACAACCAGAGAAGCAGAAAGGCAAAACCACAAACAAGAAGACAACTACAAGCAAAAGCAACAGGTAGAACGGGAAAACAGTAGCAATGCATAGAAAACCACAAAAAACAAGAAAAAACTCCCAAAATAAAACCAACAAGCAAAGTAAGCCTCCACTACCCCCAGCATCGAAAAGATTCTCTTGACGACTAAACGCACTCAAGAGATAGACTTCGGTCTTCCGATGTCCGGCCGAGTTTTTTCAGTGTTGGGATGGGACGTGATGCCGGGAAGGGACAGGATGGCTGCTCGATGTCATCTGACGATGCCGTGAAGCGTGTTTCGATGTCCGGGAGTCATTTTTCCAGCCCACAGTCCATCGTAGGATCCTGACTTGAAGTGCTCGCTCCGACACCTCGAAGATCTCATGCAGCCCGTGGAACCGCCTGAAACAGCGGCGTCTTGAAGAAGATCCAGGCACAAGCGCGCGCACAAACACTGAGGGAAGGGCCCAGATCCTGAAAGTCGAACCGGCTCCGTTGCGGCCAGCTCCTGGCTGAAGCCACAAAGCCAAAGCCATGCAAAGCCGCCTTGCCCGAGCGAAGCTGCCGAAGCTCCTGGCGCTTCATGTCCGCAATCTTAAGCCCGGCTTCATCCTGCTCAGGTTGCAACAACTATCTCCAACTCACTTCACGATGCACAAACAAAATGGCACCTCTTTCAATTTCCAGGCAAGCAGTATTCCAACCGGCGGCAGAAGGTTCTGAATACCAGGCCCCGGGCTACACCGCCCGGCTTGCTGCCTGGATTCCACTGGAATAGATCGGACAACTAGTACGGGTTTAAGTTGATGCTCCGTTCAGTCACCCCCCCTCCCACATACCCTAAACTATGCTTCATCATCCCCAGAAGTTGACAAGCCGTGCAAGTCCTTAGCTTCTCAGACTCTGAAAAACAGCTACGAGTGCAGTAGGTCCTTACACCTGCAACCGCTTGGAGTGTGGGCCGATTATACGAAAGAGTTGGTCATCAGCGCACCGGGAACAAGCCGGACGACACCTGCATCTCCGTGGAGAGATCTGATCATTCTGGCACGGCTGTCGGACTGCCAGGGCCGCAGAGAGATTTAGCGGCACAGCTCTGTACTCAGGTCAAATCAGGTCACATCAGATACTGCTCTGAATTCCCGCGCAGCTTTGCAGCTTCGGCCTGCTGCTGCCTGTTTAATGCGAGGGTCAAGTCCTGCACGGGAAAGAAGCAGCGCGAAGACTACAAATCGACGCAATGCTAATGAAGCCTGGGTGAGGTTGACCAGCTTGCGCTCGGTTTCGTCTCGTGAATTGAGTAACTGGCACAAGGTAAACTTGGAAAAAGAAGCAGCTCACGTCACATGCGTGACATCTCAGTGACCGGATTTAAGTCAACTGAGCTCTGCCATTGGAGTGTCAGCACAGACGCGACTGCCACTAGGATCGTCGGTTCGTCTGCTGGCTAAACTCTCTGTCGGTACTGTTGTGGCGTAACGTTGTTACTCGTAGCTGATATCTCAGACAGTTTGACCAACAGTTCCGTTTCTCGCTCGTTCATAAACATAAGACCGTCCTCTGTTCTGAAACACTCAATGACGAGCCACAGACACATGACAAAAACTTTCACCGAACATCCCTAATCTTTTTGATACGGGAAAGCACATTGCCAGAAATCGAAAGAGTGAGGGTGAAGCTTGATCCATGTCCATGAGGCCCATCAGACCGCGGTTCTCTTTGCTTGGAGAGTATGAACAAGGCAAGTTGCGCATCCGATACAGCCGTTGACCGGTCAGCATCCAAAACCTTACGTGAGTAGGGGTCGGGTCTGCTTTTGGGAGTGCTGAAAGGTATCGTCTTTGTCTTGAACGGCCAGAGATCCCTGGCCCTCCCTTCAAGGGCTTCTGTTGGTTGGCCATTCGCGAGCTATTTCAAGCTGCAGCACGCGTACACTCGCCGTGTACACTATGTCCATCCACAAAAGAACAGCGAACTTAAGCTTGCATTTGCTGCATCTGCTTCATTCACCTTGCGGACATGTTCCTTGCCGGTGCTTCTCATATAAGCGTAACTGCTGCAAAGCCTTGATCATTGAAATTATTTACAATTAAGTCAAGAATACCAGGTTTGTTGGTCCGCTGCATTCCATAATAACAGCAGCTCACGGCATACAAAACAGACACTCATTGGAAGAAACATGAGTATACGGAACATAATCAAAAGAGCATGTCGCAATAAAGCACGGAAGCTTGCAGATATAATGCTACAGTGGATGCTCGAGTCTCTTTTCATGAAGGAGACTGCATCAAACATAAGAGGTCTTGACTTAGGTCAGCGTGAGGACCAATGGTTTGCCAAACCATCCACTGGTTCCTTCTACATCGAAGGTGGGTTCGTGTGCCACCGGCATCTGCGTCTGAAGGCACTCCGCCTTTCCTCGGGCTTCTGCATGCTGTTGTTTCACAATCTGCTTCAGTCTTTTGTCTCGCAATTTATTATTGGCCTTATTGGTGAGGTGCTTCTCACTCAAGAGCCTCAGCCCAATCTCTCTGTCTGTCTCCCTCCTGACATTTTGAGGGTCGACATCGTTGCATTGGCTTGAGGGATATGCTGACATGCTGCATTCGTCGGCAGAGACTGAATAATAGAATACGAACCGGCACATTCATCGGAAGTGCCTGCAATCGCTTCCGCTGGTTGGAAGACTTGAAATGGCTGATGTCGTGCAGCTTCGTTTCGAGAGTTCGTCTGGTCCTTTGATGGATGCCGTGCACTATCATTGCCAAACAAAGTATCCCTCTGCCAGTCTCAGAGCTGGACGCTGCAGTGTCTCCCTCTTGATCTTTCCGAGCCTGACAGCTGCAAGTCCCTAAAACTCTGAGCATGACTGAGTGTCTCCACGCCTCCAAATTTCTGGCGGTCTCGGTCAAGGCCGCATCTTGCTGATCACAAACTGTCAACCTCAGTCTTGAGATACCAAAATGTATATCTTTGCATGCGCAGTTTTAGAAGAGCACAAGAATTATATGAAAACCACAAACACCTCGACCAACTACGGAGTCCGCACCACGCACGATCGGCAAAGCCCTGAACGAACCAAAATCGACCAACTTTGTGGGCCCCAGCTCTCTTTTCATGCGCGCGAGCTCCAGCCTGTAGGTGCTGAGCCTTAGCCGTGCTGTTCTCCGCTCAACTCAACATCCACGACTGATTGAGCTGGAGTAAGCCATCAGCTGCTTTTGGAGATCTTCCATTTGGTTCTCTAGATCCTGCAGTCAGCAGAGTTTGGCGTGTTGAGCATGCAAGTAAGCTGTCAACTTGCCTTCTTCTGCTTCTGGAAGTCGTTGTTCAGTTGGCGGAGCTCCTCCAGCCATATCAGGGGTCCGACTTTTGAACTGCAGTAGGGCGACAGGCTGGCGGATCCTCAACGTCGAACTCGTCTTCATTACCTAGCGTTTTGCCAAAGCACATGTGAGGCAATCACAATATCAAGAAGCAAATAGCTTACAAAATGAATCGAGGACTTCAATTCGTTAGTGTGCAGGCCCAGTTGCGGCTGGGGCGGTCAGCCGCATCAGCCCTGGAAGAAAAAGGGTCCAAATCTCTTCGCTAAAACGACGAAAGAACGTGCTAATCCTGTGCACAGTAACACTCGACATGACGATACTGTAGCTGTGTAACAGTAGTGCTGGTGGTGTTGGTTGTGTAACTTGTTATAGTGGTAGCACCGTAGTACAACTAGTAGTACAGCTAGAAATACAACTACTAGCGCAACTAGTAGCACAACTCGTAATACAACTAGTGGTAGTAGTAGCAGCAGTAGTAGTAATAGTAGTTGTAGTTGTTGTTGTTGGTAGTAGTAGTAGTAGTCGTCGTCGTCGTAATAGTCGTGGTGGTGGTGGTGGTAATGGTAGTAGTGGTAGTAGCGGTAGTAGTGGTAGTAATAGTAGTAGTATTCAATCAGGAGCGTCGCGCAATCCGAATGCATGACGAGGAGGTCAGACCTTTGGTCCGGCTGCTCAAAGCAGCTGTGCAGCGGTAGCACAACCCACAAAGCAAGAGCTACTTCTGAGCAACTTGCCGAGGCCTTCGTACGACATCGTGGACCAACATCCGAAAGTAGCCACTTTATCAGTCCAATTCTTGCAGAAAAGTACTCGTCATCGCCATATGCGCAAGCTCCTCGCTCTCTGTGCACTGCCGTTGGGGAGTCCCCTGCGTAGCAAAATGCTGACTCACATCTTGCGTCGATGAGCTGCTGGCCTCCACATTGGAATGAGTCCCTCTTGTAAGCATGCAGGTATCTCCTGCTACAACCACCAAGGGAGCATCCAAGTAGGCAGTGGTAAACTGCTCACCACCGCAAAATTGCTCATCGACATCCATGGGCTGCGGTGCCTCTTGCATGGGTATCGCCGTGCTCATAGCCAGCGTCGCGGTCATGAGATGTTGCCGTCGTTGACATCCCCATGTATGAAAACGACCAAAACTGTCGCCACTGTCCGAGCAGCAAGTGGTGTGCCCATAGTTAGCGCGACGGACGCAGTTGGGTGAACGACATACGGTGATCTGGAGACGGTCTTGTCTCCGCTGTCGCTTCTGGCAACGATGCGTATGGTCGCCCAGTTCACACAGAGAGCAGCAATGACGATGCTGAACTTCCGGGTACCAGCGTAAGCAGCCTGGACTGGAACACAGCCGCCTATCAGCGTGCTGGGCCTGCAATGCAAGACCTGCTGCACCGCTTGGGTTTGCACCTGGTGGCGGTGGCGGCGGCTGCGGCAGACGGAGCCAGCCCAGCCAAGCAGCGCCAGCCCCCAGCCCCAGCCCAGCCCAACCCAACCCAGCCAGAGCAGTCCAGCAGCCCGACCCAGCCCAGCCCAGGCAGCCTAACCCAGCCCAGCCCAGCAAAAGCAAAATGTGGCTTCAGTCGAAAAACGTTCGGTCAAAACGTTTTTGGCACCAAACCCTGCGCCGCTGAAGAAGCCATGTGCACCTGTGCAGCCACTGCATACTACAGCAGGTTTCCTATGAGGCAGTGAGGGTGCAAGGAGCAAAGGTGCAGCTGCCAGGGGAGGCCATGCTAACATGAGGGCAAGCATCCGTCACACAAGCACGTTTTCATCCAGTAGTACTCACTCATGCGCCGTATCGGATCCGGTCGATACTATGCGGGGACATGCACTTGCTCGGCGACTATTGTCGCGCCATTCTCTTAATGGCTCCCTTAAGAAAATGAGCCACAGCAGCATGTCGGAAAGTCAATCCATGCCATCAAGATCAAGCTCAAGCCTCATTGCGATCGTCCCGTGCTCATCATCTTCGCGGCCATGTCTTCCATCGTGCCTCCCATCATGCTATATACAGGGGCATCAGTAGTGCAGGAGGTCGATGCCCCAGACTAGCCTGTGGCATGCAAAACATCCACAGGCACAATCAGTGGGCCACCAGTTGTCGTAACGCCGCCAGCAGTGACTGCAGAAGTAGAAGCCGCATTCCCGGAAGTGACAGCGCCGCCAGAGACCGAAGCCAGCGAGGAAGACGAAGCAGCAGTACCTGTGCCCGTGTCAAGAGAAGCCGTGGTTGGAGCCTCCATCACCGTCATGGGAGTATAGAGCGCAGCCATAGCCAGAGGGCGGTGAGCACGATGACACCTGGCAGAGTGAAGGATCCCACCGGAGCGACGGCATCCGGAGCAACAGGTAAAGTGCGAGCCGTTGGTTGTTCGGGTGCACCCCGTAGTCCAGCATCCGCTTTGCTGAGTGGACGCCAGATTGGTCCTTAGAAACCGCTGCTGTTGACGACAGCGACGTGAGTGCCGCGTGCCAGCAGTAAGGCGGCAATCCCTGCAGCAGTGCCGATGCTGAGCGCTGGTATGTCTCACGGTTCATCCAGTAGTAGCAGTAGTAGTAGTAGTCGTCGTCGTAGTAGTCGTAGTAGTCGTAGTAGTAGTAGTAGTAGTAGCAGTAGTGGTGATAGTTAGTAGTAGCAGTCGTCGTGGTAGTAGTAGTAGTAGTAGTAGTAGTAGCAGTAGTAGTAGTAGTTGTAGTAGTAGTAGTAGTGATAGTGATAGTTAGTAGTAGCAGTCGTCGTTGTAGTAGTAGAAGTAGTAGCAGCAGCAGCAGAAGCAGCAGCAGTAGCAGGAGCTGTCGTAGCAGAAATAGGACGAGGACACGGACCAGGACGTGGAGGCAGGCTGGGACGGGACGGGGACGGGGACTGGGACGAGGACGAGGATGAGGACGAGGGGAGGTGTAGAGTGGAGAGGCATCAGCAGGAGCGTCAGCCATCTCGAGGCTTTGGAGTTTGGGTTAAAGAGTTTGCTTGGGATTAAACCCTGACGTGAATGGCTTTGGGTTTGTGGCTGCCAGTCGATCACCCGGTCGTTGTCGTTTGTTCGCTGTTGCAGTCCTGGGGGTTGCTACCTGGCAAAAAATAGAAACGCCCCAAACATTGGCCCCTTTTGGCGAGAAGCAACACTGATCTGCCGCGGCATACAATCCAAACCCTGTTAACACCGATTTAACACTGGCCAACCCCACTTCAGCAGGGTTGACACTGGCCACTTGGTTTCAAGCGAAGGCGCCTTGCACTCCTCTTCGTTCAAGCAAAAACATGCAGAAACCTTTTTCTAATGAGATCTGCGACTGAACACTAACATCACCGGGGCCTGCCCTCTTTAGGGCATCCTCTTCGCAGAACACCCAAGCCATCAACAGGTCTCTGTTTACGGCGCTGATCACAAAACAACGGCTAACCCCGAATCTGGAACGAATGATTCAGGTTCAAACACAAGGTATAGCATAGCAAGCATGGCCCGAAGAGCCACGCAGGAATCAAGCCACCTCTATCGGAAACACTGGCCACTGCCATCAGCATGACAAGTCCGAGAGCAGCTGGGAATCCCTCACCAACTTGGCCCGAGTAGCCTTCGTAGGCCCACCGGGTTTTCTCAGAAGCTGCTGCTTGTTTTGCAAATGAAACTGAGTGGCTTCCAAAGCCACTCGGCTACAGCCTCAGCCCTACGGTCAAGCCAATCCGAGTAAACATAATGGGGTTTCGTGTGCTGTGCCAAAGCGACAGCCCTGGCAGTGGCATATGCATCAGCCCTCTGGGTTCCAAACAACTGCACTAAGTTGTCAGTGCCATACTCTTCCACAAACACTTCCAGAGTGAAGTGGCATTTGATCTTACCAAACAGAACATGCTCACTGTGCGATCGTCGGACTTGGATGCGGCCCCAAACGTCTGCATTCTTGCAGTTTAAGAGGACTAAAGTACCATGTGTGGGAAAGCGTTGAACAACATACTTAGCGTCGACAGCAATGGTCAGACCGAGCGGGGATGCTGTCGCCTCCAATGCAACTTGAAGGGCAACTGCTTCAGCCCGTGGTACAATCTGCTGCGCACAACTACCAGCAACATTGGCAACCAAGCTCCCAATTTCGAAGATCTCATCCTCACAACATGGCACATGCCCGCTTCTGCGGATTGGAGCCTTTCGCAAGGATGATACCTGTTCACGCTAACCGGCCGCGATTGACCATTGCACTCAACTTCATCCAGCAAGGGCGGTAGGCAAGTCCACTCATGCGAGACAACACCAGAATTCCAAACAAAAACACAATTGCTCCAATTCTCTGTGATGCAAGTACCAATCGGGCGCTTGCTGTCCCAGCTCTTTCAATTCAAGCAACAAGCGGGCACTCCCACAACCAATCATGAAACATGTCGTCTGGATCCTGATGGGTCTTCACCAGCGCATTGACGCATGGGAAAGTCTATGCAGGGTACCCTGTACCATGGAATCAAACATGCCCATTTTGCAGGCGGTTGTCTGCAGATCCTGGCATGAATTTTGTTGACAACTGAAACATCGAGACCTTCTTTCAAGCGTACAGTGTTCAGACTGCCAGCAAGCTGTTCCGCCTATCACCTGTTGTCTGCACATAGTTCTGCCACAGACAGCAAAACTTAAACAATACATGTGTCATTCCAAACGCAAGGAAACTCTTCCCTAAGGTCATCAGTCCAACAAGACAGGCACGAAACGGAGCATCCAAGATCAATCAATATCGCACTCATGGCCCAGCGGGCCTTTCACATGCATAGAGCATTTCCGCACAGTCCTTAGAAATTTCCATTCAATGTGCCAGACCTTGTCCAAGGTGGAGCATTATTTGGCCCGAAGTGAGATTGCGATACAGCTTTGTAGACATATCAACGTGCTGTCTGCGACACAAGAACAAGGGGATTTGCTCTCTGGTGAATCCCCGCAAGCAACATCGCAACTTCAATGAAGCCAACCTGAAACAAAACCCGTTTGCTTTTGACTATGCTCCTGCGGCCCAATTTTCAGTCAAGCCCCAAATCTTTCGACACAGACTCGACTATCAAAGCACTGTTTCGCTGTGCTACTTCCGCCTTTAAAGGACATCAACACCAAGGTCGTCAACCCAACTGGTGATCATTCGCGGTGTTCGATAGTAGTCATAGTACAACGAGTGCAAGATGTCCATGCAATTGCACTTCGGCCAAGTAAACCGAGAAGGAATCTCCCACAACCAATCCTCTGGCTGCTCTGACGGGCTTGCTCGCCTTGCCTTCAGCGCATTTCAGCACATACATGCACATAGTAGACGAGGAGCTTCATAGAAAATGCATCTGTGATAAAGGAGAATGAGGCAGAGATCGCAACTCAAGCCGCATCAAGCCGCAACTTTCATGACAACCACATCAACATTGAAACAGTCAAAGCCAGCCAGGAATGAGACATGTTCCGTTTTCAGTGTTCCACTCATCTCTCCTCGCACTTGTCGCATGCACGCACATGGAAAACCGTGGAGTGCTGACGCGCAACATGCAGAACCCCTGCGGTACCAGACCCTCCACTCCCCAAAAACAGACAGAACCTCACACCGCCTGTTTGCGAAGCAAGAGTGCTTCTTGCCGACGTACCTCTGCCACAGGAGCACACCTCACCGACTCCACCCAACCAAACCCAAGAAGACAACACCATCGAAAAAAATCAACACGACGCCCCACAGAAAGATGTCAACAATCAAATCCAACACAATGCTTGGAAAGAGCTCTTTCAACTACCCACAGCAAGTTCAACCAAAGCAGCGGCAACGTCGCACAAGAGAACCAGACTGAAAGAAACGTCCTCAGCATGTGAGCAGCGTAGAGCTCTGTTCAGGAGAGCTGCTACACGCACAAGCACCGCGACTGGGTGGCAAGGAGTTCTGGTCACTCGTCTTGCAGGTGACGCGAGGGGAACCAAGCTTTCGTGGCATGCCACCACGCGTGAGCCAAAAGCACCGACCCCTGCCTCTTCATGCGGCGCACGGAGACCAACTTGGTGCATGCCGTGCTGCAAAGATGTTAACAAAAGAAAGCTTCTGAGGAGCAGCAACGCGTGCTGAGGTCTGAGCTTGGGAAGATCGACTCTTCAATGACGTTATCAGATTTGCCATATCGTCTTCGATGTTAAGCTTCCTTGGCCACAAGAATCTCTGTTCACTGTGACTGGAAGCGACAGCTAAGGCAACGGCGCAACACTGCAAGCAAGGACATCCTGCTAAGTCTCATCCAAGGCTTGCCGATGTGTCACATTTAGCAACTACTTGAATTGGAATGTTGAATCATTCTGCGACGCCCCATGCTCAAGAGAACTATTGGACGAGCCGGCATTTTCGAACGCCCTCGAGGACACAACGACACAAGACAATAGCGCTGCCCCGGTGCAACAAACGCGCAGGTCCTTGTACACTGACACCTGGACGTTCCGAAACTGAGATTGACGTGGTACTACCCTGTATGCAAACATACAAGCTGACCTGATCAGGACCTGCATCCTCTGCATAGGCTTCTCGTGGCAGGCTCTTGATGCACACCGGGACCTGCAGTGCTCTGGTCAACATGTGTTAAGGAAGCAGTATATGAACGACTGCCCAATCTGCAGATATGTGTAACATGTCAACATATGTCAACGGCGGTGGTTTCAGCAATGTCATCGGGCTGCACGGGAAAATGCGACATGGACTTAATGACTTAATGCCACCGAAGACGAGCATGAGCACACGAATCGGTGTCCCTAGCAAGATCCTCGACACAGCCGTTGATTGGTACTAAGCGAAGTTGTCTCTCGATGTCTCTTGCTCTCAGCTCCTTGTGTTTCATTTGAGGGCCGGCAGAGGCCTGACCTTGAAACGCTGGTGGGCTTGACAAGCTGTCGGCCATGCGGGAGGACATTTCTACGTGCGGCGTTGACCAACGGATGCAACTTACGCTTCCGTGTACCTGCGCAGCTGACGACTGAGGCCAAAACTGTACAATTTTCTGCTTTGTCGTATCTCTTTTGTGCCCCCAGCATGTAGTAGCCTGCATTCAGTCTGCGAAAGCTTTGAACGTGTTGCTTGACCTAGATGTGCCGAGCAGCTGATGGCACCCCAAACGTACACCTGAGAGTCATGCCGCCACTTGCCGTCCTACTATTCGAGCTCGCCAAACTCGCCTCGCCACGCACGGTAACGCAGGCGGAGCTTTCGGGACCACAGCTGCAACTGCGTGCGCACAAAGAGGTCTCCTTCAACAACTTGACTCCCCATGAAGGCACATGCAACATCATCGCTGTGAAGGAGCTCCTGACCCTCAAAATGCTTCACTGGAGTTGGAGCTGTGACCGCCTGACAAACGGAGTCAAATCATGTTTGCATTTCGCCTTCTGCAACTTCTCGTCAACTAAGGATAGGACAAGCTCGCTCTCAGGCACTGCTGCACTGAACCCGTCAACTCCCAGCTGACCGGCCTGATCCGGACAATCAAAGAACAAGCGATTCGGCAACAGGAGTTGCTGCCTTGTTGTTGCCCCATGCGAAGAGCGCTCCTCTTTGGGTAAGCGCGACACAGTGGTTCCTCGGTGCATGAGCGTTGTTGGTGAATGCACGATACCTGGCAAGGCTTCACACATAAGTGCAGCTGCAGGTCAGGCCGCATGCTATCTGGACGATGATTTCTTGCCTGTCACACGTGCAATCTCAATGCTCGCACCGGTCTTTCAAGGTGAGAGCAACTCAGTTAACGGCTTGATGCCACCAATGATAGGAGCCGGCTTCAGCATCTTATCCTGTGAGCAATGTGATGGTGCGCTGCTCTGTCACGAAAGGCCCGGCCTGGTTGTGGCAAGCTCGACCCAGCTGGCCATATTCATTGTTCGTACCCCTGACAAGGCACATCAAGCCGCGCAACGCAGCCCCGAATCCCGATTAGAGAAGAGGACGACATGGAGGATAGCAAGGACATGAGAAGGTCTATGTCATCTCCTCTACGACATGCTATAACTACAGACTGTGCAACATTATCAAACAATAGACAAAAACCATGCCAGGGTGTCCAGCTGTAGATGACTCCCTCATCCGTCAGGAGCATTGAGTGCGCCTTGCCAACAGCCACCTTCCATGAACGCAAGCGTGAGCTTTGCATTATGGAGTGATGACCGGTGCCTGCACCACGAACGCATGGTTGTCAGCTGGAGCTGCCTTGATTGATTCATGCAGGCTTTTCGATGTAGACCTCGAGTCTACAGATTCACAAACACACTTTCACACCCCGAGTCTTTCACCGGAAGCGACCGCAACGACATGAGGGAGCAGCAGGCTCTGATGAAGACTCAAGAAGAGAGATAAACTGTCAGATTGTCTACCAGTGTCTCATTCGCTGAATTGACAGAAAGTGTGCAACAATCCCGAGCGAACATCCTCAGTGCAACAGTACCTGTCAGACAAAGCTTCTTCTGTCATCTTCGAGCCAGAACCCGACTCGCACGTCGGGTGTGCATGATGCCCACAAGTACTCGTCAGTCACAAGAATACCAGCTTGCCAGAAAACAATCTCTGCAGCATGTTCTCTGCCCGTCTCCTTGCTGTCGATCAAGCTCTGCGAAACTGTGTTGCAGCACATTCACTTTGTGCAGAGTTCGGCTAGGATCTCTCTAGATTTTGGATACCCGGTTAACCATCAACTTGGGTCTGAATCTGAGAACTCATGACTGAAACGAAACCGGGCTGTGCCAGTAGAATTCGTTAGCCAGATCAACTGGAGAGTGCAGCATCATCACCTGGCATGCTAGTCGAGAGGGATGCATAATCCTTTTAAATCGTCCTGCCTGCTTCAGTGCAATGCTGCACCGAGTCGTTCACTCCCTGCACGATGGGACTCGACCTGGAAGCATGTGCAGCTTCGCCTCATGGATGACTCGAGAAAACGGGCTTTCAGGCCTTCTCCAAACATTGTCAGTCTATTTTGATGGAGCCTGAGCCAGACGATCGTAGGCTAACAAGACCACCCGGAAGATCCTCGAACACATGCCGAGAATGGAGCCATAGATGGTGCGGACAAAGTAGAAGGTTGCACTGAACCTTCTGGTCGAATGCCCGGGACAACCCCAATGGTGATTCGCATGCATTGCATCTCTGGGAGCACAGCCCAATAGCACCGGTGAGGAGCGCAAAGGTATAAGAGATAACAAACCTGGACCATGAAACTTTCATCCACCATGGAAAAGCCGCTGTCTGTGCCCCCGGCATGTATCCGAAATACAACAGTGCGCCCACGTAGTGCCCTATCCTCAGCTCTCTTGGCTAAACTTGGAACAAAGCAGTTCTGCTGACGCAAGATCGGGTTTCCGGCTGCATCCGAGTGAAATAATACAAGCCTTGTCTCACGAGCTTCCGCAAATCCATTGCATGTGTCGCGAACTGGCAAAGCTCAGGCAGGTGCAAGAATATGCGAAGACATACAAAGCTGATGATGCGCTAGTGAGAAATGATCTCCACCACCAGTTGTAGTCCTGGCCGATGTGACTGCAAGCTGCCACGTGCAGACATATGCAGACATGTTGGACCCACAGACTCCATCAGCAGGTTGGAGAGGGGTGGAGAATTGTTTTCGTTCTTGCGTTTTCTACGGGAACAGGGCGCAGGGACTTGGGGGAGATTAGGGAGTGGCGGTTTTCCGGTGTAAGAGTATGAACAGCAACAACATTCAAAAAATGAACCATAGCCATGATTGTAGTAATAGTAGTAATGGCAGCAATAGTCATAGTAAAGTAGTACTAGTAGTAGTAGTCGTAGTAGTAGTAGTAGTAGTACTACTAGTAGTAGTAGTAGTAGTAGAAGTAGTAGTAGTAGTAGTAGTAGTAGTAGTAATAGTAGTGGTGATAGTTAGTAGTAGCAGTCGTCGTGGTAGTAGTAGTAGTAGTAGTACTACTAGTAGTAGTAGTAGTAGTAGTACTAGCAGCAGCAGTAGCAGTAGCAGTAGCAGTAGCAGTAGCAGTAGCAGTAGCAGTAGCAGTAGCAGTAGCAGTAGCATTCATTCACCACGCAGCGAAGTATCCGGATTCGCCTAGCGAGCTGACGATAGCCCGGTATTCGGGGTATCGGAACCTCTGTTGGGTTCTGGAGGGCAGTGCCAGCTCCATCCACTAAGACTACACTTGCTCAGCATCAGGCACCAGGTGGAAGTACCTGACGTAGCCACACTATATATATATATGTTGCCATCATGTTCTGTGCCAACTGACTTTGCTGTGCAGGAGTCATCAGGGATCCACCATTTTTCTGCACCAAACAGCGGCTGTCCTCGTAGTATAGTTCTGTAATGCCCCATATCAGGAGTGGCCCCGTAGTGAAGCTGTACAGCGACGACCTGGTAGTGAACATATCGAACTTGCATAGTGTTCAGCCCTGCAAAGAGTGGCATACGAACTGTAGTCGAGGCCATAGCCAGTGGTCTGGTGTCCCTGCGCATGACTCCCTCGGCATTCGTGAATCGCTGAAGTTGTATGCAGAGCATTGGAGACGGGGTCAGCAGTGCATAACGGGCTGTGACCTGAGCACTCCACCCATCAATGGCTGCCTGAAGCTCCAAGCTTGGACCTGCCGGTAGCACAATCGAAATTGGAGCTTGGGTAGGCCCCGTATCAAGAGTAGCAATACCTCCAGGTGCAAAGTTTCTGGCCTCCCAGCCACCATTGAACCCACTATGCGAAAACCTGGGTAAGAGGTATTGTATCAACTCAGCTGCATCATGCTGACGGTGTACAGAAGGCCAAGCTTGCAGCAGCATAAGCCACGGTACCGAATGAAGCACCTGAATGGGACAATTGGGCGAATCAGTGATTGGTGGACACAGCATGGTAAGAGCCTGCGGTGGAGGCGAGATGTAGGCATCATGTAGCCTGGCCTGAAGGATTGTCCACAGAAGGGCATAGATGGTAGAGTGTAGGTAGCACAGATTCGATGGATTTTGGAAGATCAATCGAAGAACTGCCTTGAGACTAGGGCGCACACTCAGTACGGCATCTGATGCTGCCACACTTCCTGGACCAGGGTGTCGTAGTTCGGTCGATCGCGACGGAGCCTGCATCCCAGTGTGTGCCACGATGCTTGACCGATCCACTGGTTCAGCGTGCTCCACATGGCTCCACCCTCTGGACGAAGTGACAAGCAGATCTGGAATTGGATCCAGTCGGAGGTCACCTCCGTGGTGAGCTTCCGCATGGACTTGAATCTCACCAGGGTCTCCTCCGTAACAGCCTTCCTCATCTGAACCAGTTGGGCCAACAGATCCTCCGCCGGTATTGGCCTCACTGAGTTGTCTACTTCCAGACACTGTTTGGAGGGATTCCATGTGAGATGTTTCCAATGTTTCTGATCGTCGATCGTCCGCGATCATGTTGGTCAACCTCTGATGCAAGGTGATGAGCAGTTGCTTGAATAGCATGAGTTTGAGGGAGTAAGTGATCTTCTCGGGCTCTTCCTCTTTCATCTTCCTCCACTTCTCCGCTGCATCGCATAGAACTGGCACCATCCCTTCTGGTCCAGATCGTACAAAGAGGTAGAGGACCAGATCCTGACGGATGGCTGAGATGATTTGCTCCTGACGAAGGACCAGCTGAGACAGTCGGTTCATCCTGTACTCCATCCATTCGGGATCCTGACTTCCCAGTGGCTGCAGGTCCTGTGTCTGTGTCCATGGATTGGGTGGATGGCTTCCGAAACCATTTGTGTAACCCATGGTCGGGTGTGCACTTGGTGGACTTGGTAGGCCCTGCTTTCCCTTGCCTTTGCCCTTGGTACCCTTGCCCTTGCCCTTGTTCCGATCCTGCGGTGCCAGGCGCTGCCTCTTGGATTGCTCGGCTGGTTGCAGCATATCCCGTCTCGGTTCCTGTTCCCGCTTGACCGGACCAGCCTGGGCCCAAAATTGCCTCTCCTGTTCGTCCAGCTCCATGGGATCCGCGGTGAGCGTCATGATGCGCTGCTAGAAATGCACAGATATGCAGAACATGACACTGTTTCCAATGTCGATCTTTGTTGATGTTTCGCTGATGACAGTATCGACACGGAACTACAGTATGTCGGCGGAAACCAGTAAGGAGCTTGAGAGTCGCGGGTTGGCAGTCTTTCCACTCTGGATGTTGCATGGTGAGATGATACTTGATGCTGGTAGGAGTGGCTAGCCACTGATAACACAGCGGGCAATGGTGCTGGAGATACGATTGGATCTCCGGCTTCTCAAGGAGGTCAGTCCACCTGCGTGCACGTAGTGCAGCAAGAACATGAGATTGCTGATGAAGGGGAACAGCCTCATGGCTCGGTGTAGTGGAGCTTTCCTGCAGTGGAGCATCTGTGACAGGGGGTTCAGGTATTACATCGGGAATAGTAGTAGGCGTAGCAGCCTGATCCTCTTGGAGGGTGTGGATCTCCTGAGAGGATGCCTGAGGGGGCAGAGTGACCGATGCAGGGACTGGTAAAGGATCGGATTCACTTGATCTCGGAACCGAGGGTTGGGCATCAGCGTGAGATTTTGTGGCGAGTCTACGGAGTACCTGGCACCGATTGCGTTTGATGTGTTTGACAAGTCCGTCCCATTGTCGGAAGGGATGGGCACAATGTCTGCACGTTGGGAGTCCTTCTGTTCCATGTGCATACCTATCAAAAGGCACTGGGACAGCAGCAGGTGTCTTAAGTCCATGCCATTTAGCCTCGCGAGAGCGTAGTAGCCGAAAGGAGGTAAAGACCCGGCGACATTCCTGGCACTGGTGTACAGCAGGTTCGGTGATGCCCTCTTTGTCACCTAGAGGTACCTGCCATTGGCGTGGTACTTGTAGGTGAAGCGTAGCAGCTGTGTCTCGAGCTGTTTCCACCTGGGCTTGGGTCACGAAACTCGTTTGGGTACTCAGGCCAATCAGGCTGCGATGCAAGGCGGCGGCTTCCCTCTGGAGATGCTCCAAGATGGTGGACAAAGAGCATCTATGCAGGAGGTCATGTGTGGATTCTTTCTGAAGATGTGCAAAAGATCGGGTGATGGCTCGGACCTGCTTGGTCATCATGTGCTGCATACGCTGGATATCCTTAGCACCTGGGTTGGATGCCGCGATGCCATAGAGCAGCGTGGGAAGCACTGTGGATTTCCATAGACTGAGACGATGTGTCTGAGCAAGGTGCCTGGTAGAGCACAATACACCACGAAGTCTTTGCCATGCCTGGTTCGCAGCCTGTAGCCGATAGGTGACTGCTTGTTTGGCCTGGGAATGATATGAGATGCGAATGCCTAAGTACGTGTGATGGTCACGTAACGGGATTTCATACACCTTTCCCAGGGGGCTACGAAAGCGTAGTAGGTCTCCCTCAGGTTTGTGTATGAGATGTCGTCGCAGCCAGCCTTTGATGAAGCTTCCCTTGTGTCTCAGCAACAGTGCTGATTTGGCCGAGTTGATGACCATACCATGGGCAGCAAGAGCATCGAGGATCTTACTAAAGCGATACACCATGTCGTCCAGCTCACGAGTGTTCTGCACGGTATCTTTAAGATGTATATCATCTGCATAAATCGTGGAGCTTTGCTCTAGCCAAGGGGCTGTGAGGAGCGAGTCCCCCTCTGCAAGGAGCTCACGATATATCTGTGCCAGGGCAAGTGTCCAGAGCAACGGAGCCAGTTTACACCCTTGTCTAAGTCCTCTTTGGGCCTCCACTTTGGCAGTGTGCCCAAGGTGGGTAAGGACATAGGAGATCTCGGAGTGCCAGGACATGATTTGGTGTCTTAACTCAGCCGGAACTGCAGATGCAAGTAAAGCCTTGTCCAGCAGGCGCCAGTCCATGAGGTCGAAAGCGCTGGACAAGTCCAGTGAGAGTTGTGCACCTGCAAAATGTGGGCAGGGTTTCGGTTGTTGTGCGTGACGATCCACAACCGTAGGTGTTGAGATCGAGCAGCGATCCTGTACATACTTGCAGTGAGCAGCAACACGATGTATGGCTTGGGCAGCATTGCGACCTGGTAGATATGCAAATTGTGCCTGATCCGCAAGGAACCTCTCTGCATAGGGGCGCAATTTCGCCTGAAGTATGGAAGCATATGCGCGGCCGCTGGATTCAGTTAACCCTATTGGTCTGAGATTCTTTGGTGAGAGTGGTCGCGGAATCTTAGGAACAAGAGTCAACCATGCATTCCGCCATAGCTCTGGTATATGAGGCCATTGCCGGCACCATTGGCACAAGAGAGGCGCGACAATGTCCGAGGTCAGCCTCCATAAAGAGTTTGTGGCTAGATTCGGAGGTGTAGCTTTGTGGGGTGACAATTGCGAAAGTGCCAGGGTCATTTCTGCCTCCGTGACCTCGATGTGAATTGGCGTCCG